GAGATGGTTAGATAGGTCAGTGATGCAATGAACAGGAATTTGGGCAAACTCCAGAAAAGCTTGATGAACAAAGTGTATATTTGATTTTGCATGTGACAACAACCACAAGGCTTATATTTATTTGCACAACACTGGGGGGGGGGGGAAATGAAGAAATGCCATCGGAGGAAGAAATAATAAAAAAAATACTAGACTGTGCAGAAATGGACAGACTTACTTTGAGACTGAACGAAAAAGAAGAAACAGAATATTTTCAAACTTGGAACTTATTTTACCAATGGCTGGAGAAATAAACTAGGGATTAGGAATTCAAGAACAGAACAGAATAGAATAGAATAGTTGGAAGGGACCTTAGAGGTCTTCTAATCCAACCCCCTGCCCAGGCAGGAAACCCTATATACCATTTCACACAAATGGTTGCTTTTTCAGAGAAATATTTAAATAATACAAAAGAAACAAATTCAAAATACATTTTCCTGTACATAATTTTGTCCTGAATGTTTCTCTTCATTTTGGCCAATTAATTTTTTTTAATTTCAGTCTTTCCCCCCCCCCCTTCTTCCATTTAATTGTCTCTGATTCTTGAAGATTGCCTGGACAAGTCCTTGCAGTTTTCTCGGCAAGGTCAGCCAAAGCAATAAAACTGGCTATAAATGTCAAGGAACTTGCACAGCTGTGTTTTTAAAAGCATCCAGGGGACTATCTAAGTGTGACTGTGATTACAATAAATTGGACAGCACATCTAGAGATATCCAGAGACTTGCCAAGATGAGGGAAGCGGGAGGGTAGGAGAGGCTGCAAGTAGCTCCCATATTTTGTAGACAAGGCAGTGGAAAAATAGGAGCCAGCGGTATGCTGCAGCTGCCAAAAAAGCCAATGCAGTCTTAGGCTGCATCAACAGAGGGATGGTTTCAAGAGCACATAAAGTGTTAGTTTCGCTTTATAATGCTTTGGTAAGACCACACTTGGAATATTGTGTCCAGTTTTGGTCACCATGATATACAAAAAAACAAAACAAAACAAAAACCCGCTGAGGCTTTAGAAAAAGGGTAGAGAAGAGCAACCAAGATGAATAGAGTAGAGTAGAGTAGAGTAGAGTAGAATAGAATAGAATAGAATAGAATAGAATAGAATAGAATAGAATAGAATAGAATAGAATAGAATAGAAGAATAAGAAGAAAAAATGGTACAGGGTCTCCTGCTTAAGCAATGGGATGGATTGGAAAAATGACCAACAAGGTCCCTTCCAACTCCTGTTATTCTATTCTAGCATGTAGAGTTAGCCTATGATTCAACTCAGACCAGGTTGACGAACCACATCAGGCCACGAGTCGATAGCCCATAATTCTGTAAATTTGGTTGACGATTAGCCTCCCATGAGTATATAAAACTATTCTTGAGGGTCTTAGAGACTAACTCTAAAAAACAGCATTTAAGACCAATGTTTCAGGACAAAAAAAAAAAAAAAAAAGCCACGTGCAAATCAACACAGACATTAAGCCAGATTCTAATCTCAGTGTTCAAGACTCACTGGGGCACTTGCGCCGTCAGAAAATGTAAATCAGTTGCCTGGATGGGTGTCGTATCTTGGTGATGACAAACTGCACCGTAGGGCTGGTGAACATTTACCCTGAACATTGTTGTGGCAGCAGACGTGGGCCATTATGACTTGCCTTTGCAAGTTTGGGGTCCTTGCTGGGTTTTCTCTTTGGGAAAAAAAATATGTACCCAGATATTTAAGGCCCTTAAATAGCGGCGGGGTGGCCTTGAGGAGGAACTCTCACCCCACAGCCACGAGTATCGTGAGTTCAATCCTAGGTAGCGGAAGATATTTTTCTCCCTGAGCACAATGAGTCATTGTCTGCTGTGAACTCTGTGGAGGCATCGGGAAGGGCATCCAGCCAGTCAATGCTCAACTCCAATCAGTTGCCCCAACCCCACCTGGAAGCAAAAGATTGCAGGTTTGTTTAAAGAAAGAAAAAAAAAGGGGGCCCTCGTAGGGCTTAAATGTTACAGCCATCAATTCTCCAGGGGTGGTAATGAGGAACAGGCCTTTCATAAAACCTTAGTTCCATTGTAGTTAACCGCTTTTTGCTTCTCCTCCTTGTTGGCAAGGGAACAAAGGCTCCATCCGAGGCTGGCTTGTGCTTTGGGTCATTCAACTAAATCAAACCCTTTAAATACATTGACAGATTCTCAGGGGACGTATTAGTCAGGCTGCCTAGCTGCTGTGTTAGAGATGGGGTGGAAAGGAGAGAAAAAAAAATGCATCTCAACAATGCAACAAAACGATTTTCAGAGGGCGACCACTGAGTAACAGCTCGGCTCCTGAGTGTTTCTGATGAGGTCATGGGTTGTGATATTGCAGTGATGTAAATGCAACCCTAGTCTTTTTTGGGTTGTTAAGACAAATCACCCAGGGACCTATATAATTTCTCCCTTCCTTTTCTTGACGTGGCCATGCAGAAGCAGAATAATAGTTAGGCCTCTGGTGCATTGTACGATTAGACAGATGTGCTGTTAAGTATGGAACCGAGGCTGCTACCAGTAGTAATAATGATCTTTATATTTTTCTTACACTGGGTTCAAGCAATGAGTTAGCTCTTACAGCCATGAATAGGCGTGGGGTTCTCAGCATAACATCCACAAGCCAGTGGATTATTAAGCTTTTCCATTATTAGTCAAAATGAAACTTAAGCCAGACAAAATAAGGAAGACAGATAAAATGTTTGGGGTGATTTATCAGAGTTCCGTTTTTAATACTCTGAAGTTAAGAGTATTAGATTGAAATTTCAGCTTTAGCCTGTTGCCTCACACCCTCCGGCCAAGTTTTATAGAGTCTATTAGAATATTTGTCTGACTGGAATTAGTTTATTTGCTATTCTTGAACCTTTGGACATTTGAAAGGTTTTCAATCATTAGACCGCGAATATATTACCTATGAGTCAATAAACCTGCCTTCAGTTTGTGGTCTTTAGATCAAAGCACTGAATTGCCTGGCTTAAATTTGTAGGGTGGCAACTGTGGGAATGCAGTCACCAAAAACTGAAGGAGTAGTTCCTTTATTTTATTTTTTTAACGATTGGGAATATCATTGCTTTCCAGCTATGAATGAAATTAATTTATTTGCAGAATGTACTATAAAGGACTTGAAGGAATTGTTTGGTAAAGAATTTGTAATGTTATTTCGACTTGTTTCCTTAAGCCGCTGACTTTGGTGCCGCAATAAATCTTAATATCATAATCCTTCTTTTGAAAAAAAAATTTTTCACACTGGCTAGCTGTTCTCAGAGCCCAGGTTGGGGACCCTGTGCTAAGGATTGCGGGATGCCTGGCACTCAGGCAAATTGGCCATCAACAGGTACATAGAGATAAGCAACATCTACGTACCATTCAGAAGAGACGATCCAAAAGGAAAAGGGAAACAAAATGCACCAAAACACTTCCTCACCAACAATCAACAACTAGATGAGCAGAGATTAACACTGATTAACATTAGAACAACAATCAAGAAGTAAACAATATCCCAATCAAGGAACTACCAACTCAGATACACAGTAAACAACAGCTGTCAAGAATCAAACTTTGGCAGCTATGTGCCTCTGCTTTTCAACTTGCCTTTAGATTAAGGAGGGGGAGGTGTTACTTTCAAGTGGGTAAGAAGCAGAAACAAAACTTCTTTGATTCAGCAGAAGACCATGGGAGCCTGAAGCCTTGTCAAGGGCACCAGAACAGGTGTGGATTTGAAGCAGACAGTTCCCATAGCGAAGTGAACTTGTTGATATGGATTACGTTAAAACATTGGGGGTTTGGCTGGGAAAATTGTTGCTTAAGCCTATGAATTTGTAATGTTATTTTGACTTGTTTCCTTAAGCCGTTGACTTTGGTGCCGCAATAAATCTTAATATCATAATCCTTCTTTTGAAATTTCACAGATGTTTTTATCAGACATTAGTTTATTAAGTATATAGATAGGAAATTCTGTGTCGTTACTCTTTGAATGGTTTGTTAATGCAATTCTACTGAAATTGTTGTTCTTGTTGTTGTTGTTGTTATTATTATTATTAAAGTCCACATCAGTTTTCTTCAGAAAACGCATTAACTTATTTGATTACAGGAATAAAAAGTCATTTCTTATGTCCATGGAGTGTTATAAATGTATGGTGATGTTTGAAAACAGTCTTGTTATACCAGTAGGAAGTGTTAACGAATGTACATTATTTTAGGAAACCTGTCAAATATAGTATTGACTTTGGTTTCCAGAGAGAACGACTTGCTGAACAGGTTTAAAAATTTAGGAGAGAGAAAAAAAAAAAGAAACAAACCAGTTGTATTTTATAAGCATAATATCCAGCCTTAATTTATGCGTCTTTTTTTCTCCTTACTGTAATAACTAATAACACAAATGTTTCCTTGGCATCACACGAGATCTTTTTAAAAATTATTATTATTCAGCCCAAAGGACAAGTGGATTTCCTTTTAAAAAAAAAACAATATCTGTGCACAAAAAGAGTAACGAAAGAAAAACAGCAGTTTTCTTTCAGAATCGGCCCAGAATCCAGGTGTTTCCCCTTAAAAAGAGGGGGGGGGGAAGGAAGGATGGTGGAAAAAGCCTCGGTTGCTGTAGCATAAATGCATTACTTATTCATTTGTTTTGACGTTGTCCCTTTCAATACGATCCTGTCTTGGAAAATGCAAGCATCTTGGAAGCATCTGTCTGTCTGTCTGCTTTCCCTATTTGCCTGGGATATTTTAAGCTCATCTTTCACGCCATGTGTTGCCTGCCATTCAGCTGATCCTCCACAGGCCTCATGATAACTTCCAAAAATACTTGAAAACCTGGACAACTAGAACAGCAGCAGAAGAAAAAAAAAAATTGTCCAGGCTTAAGTCAAGGACAAGCCAAAGGGGAGGGTCAAACAAAAGCGGGCTGATCTTCCCCGTGTGTCTGTGCTTTTCCTAACTCTCTGCTCTATTTTTCCATGCTTTTCCGGATTCAGAGAAAGGTAAAATGCTGTTCTTTTCTCTCCCCCCCCCCCTCTTATTTCACTTCCTTGCCTACATTTTGTCCTTGTGTTGCTTTGCAAGTTGTGGGTTGAAGGTTTGGATTATGGCTTTGGGTCCTGTTGCTGATCGGATGGAAGTTGCCGGACCTCTTGAAGCGGTCTTCGGGTTTGTTTCTGTTCCCCTTCTAAGAGAGTAAGAAAAATGAGAGTTAACCCATTTGTCTTGGGAAAAAGGGGGGGGAATGGGGAGGGGGTTTCTCGTTCCTTTTGCTCATTTCTGAATGGTCTACTCAGCCCCTATCCCAGTGATGGTGAACCTTTTAGAGACCGAGTGCCCAAACTGCAACCCCAAACCCACTTATGCATCATCGGGTGCCGGGTGGGTCTGGCCCATTGGGTGGGTGTGGCCCATTGGGTGGGCGTGGCCCATTGGGTAGATGTGGCCCATTGGGTGGGCGTGGCTGCGGTGGTAACGGCAGACTGGGTGGGACTAAAAAGTTTAATCAATCAATTCCAACTTTGCGAGATCTATTTTTTTTCCCGCGAGAAGTTGAAATTGACTGATTGAGGCCGAAAGCGAAAAGGTTTTATAAAACCCAGCTGAAGGCCTAGGACTGGGGCGACGGCGCGCGTGCCCACAGAGAGGGCTCTGAGTGACGCCTCTGGCACCCGTGCCCTAGGTTCGCCACCACTGCCCTATCCTTACATTCCAGCAGAGCAGAAATTTAAACCATGTTTTTTTTCTTCTTAATTTTCAGTCTAGTTGTACACTGTAGACTTAGGAAACAGATGTCTAGTCCAGAAGTAGGCAACCTTGGCTCTTTCATGACTCGTGGACTTCAACTCCCAGAATTCCTGAGCCAGCCACGCTGAGGGGACAGGGTGAGGTTTCCAAGCTGAGCCACGCTGGCTCAGGAATTCTGGGAGTTGAAGTCCACCAGTCATAAAAGAGCCAAGGTTGCCTACCCCTGACCTAGAGGAACATATGAAAGCATAATTAATGTTAATTAATGTAGACTTTATTAATTTGGAGCAGGGGTAGGCAACCTTGGCTCTTTTATGACTCGTGGACTTCAACTCCCAGAATTCCTGAGCCAGCCACGCTGAGGGACAGGGAGAGGTTTCCAAGCTGAGCCACGCTGGCTCAGGAATTCTGGGAGTTGAAGTCCACAAGTCATAAAAGAGCCAAGGTGGCCTACCACTGGCTCTAGTCCATTAGCGAAAAGGACAACCGGGGTAAACTTCAAGGGAAATGAACGTAATAAGTGGCACGCCCTGGGCAAACTGCACCGAAGTTATTTTTTATGTCATCGCGTTGAGCTATTGTTGCACAGCTCAATAGTGCTTAATTGGTTGCTAAATACTGTGAGGGTGGTTATCCAAGCGTTACCATTGATTTTTCCAATAATTCCAGATCCTTTCCATTTGCACGCATAAAAATAAATGAATCGGAAGTCTTTGCTGTTTGTTTTGCTTGTTTATAACTCCTTTTTATTCTCCTGGTTTTTTTTTCTTTCGCGCCAAGCCAGTTATGAGTTATTTAAATTAAAAGGAACCCCTTAACTTATTAAGCCAGTGGTTCTCAACCTTTTTAATGCCGCGACCCCCAACCGGTCGTAAGTCGAGGACTACTCAACTGGTGCCGCACCGTTTGCAGAATGGGACTTTTGGCGGGTTCAGCAGGGCAGAGACAGCCTGGACAATTCCTATTGGCTTTGGAAAGCCAATAGAATTAGACTCTATTCAAGAGAGTCTATTCTATTGGCTTTCAAAAGCCAATAGAATAAAAGGGAGTAGCACAGCTAAGGAAAAGGGGGGGGAAAAAATGGCGGACTGCGTTGTTTGGCGACCCCCGTGAAATGGTCGCTCGACCCCAAATGGGGTCCCGACCCACAGGTTGAGAACCACTGTGTTAAGCTAATCAGCTAAAACAAGCCGCAGCCTTGCGTGTAAGCGTGTCCCACTTGGTCATCTTTACAATTTGTTTTCTGGTCTTACCACACACAGAAAGGGTTTAATTTAACGGATGTTGCAGAATTACAGGTATCATGTTTGCTAGCCTGACACCATCCGGAATCTGCCACCTACTAAGGTTAAAAATTATAGTCCCTAACAAGTGTGACAAGAAAGTTCATGTAAAGTTTGCAATAGTGGCGAATATCTGTAGCCCGGGTGTAGGATGAGGGCGAACGTTCGTTCTCCAAGCTTCTGGGCTGGTTTCCAAATGTTTTGTTTACTAGGCTATCTTCAGGGGAATTTAAGGGATGTCATTGTCGGTGTTCAGGTGATAAGGGCTTCAGGTGTGGGTGTGTCGAGTGTGGGTCTTAGTGTAAAGTATCTGCGTAAGGGAGTAGCAGATGTTAGCTCCTGCAAGGGTGTTGGACAGTGGTTCTCAATCTGTGGGTCGGGACCCCATTTGGGGTCGAACGACCATTTCACGGGGGTCGCCAAACAATGCAGTCCGCCATTTTTTCCCCCCTTTTCCTTAGCTGTGCTACTCCCTTTTATTCTATTGGCTTTTGAAAGCCAATAGAATAGACTCTCTTGAATAGAGTCTAATTCTATTGGCTTTCAAAAGCCAATAGGAATTGTCCAGGCTGTCTCTGCCCTGCTGAGCCCGCCAAAAGTCCCATTCTGCAAACGGTGCTGCACCAGTTGAGTAGTCCTCGACTTACAACCGGTTGAGTAGTCCTCGACTTACGACCGGTTGGAGGTCGCGGCATTAAAAAGGTTGAGAACCACTGGTGTAGGACATCGTATTTGGGGCATCTTTTAGGGCTGTTCAAGATGACAAAAACATTCCTTCTTTTACAGGGAGGTCTCTTGTTGAGATATAAATGTATTATTTATAGAAAGCTAGACAGGCTTAGTGGCTCTTCGGATAGATTCCCTGAAGGCCAATGAGCAGCTGCCATCACTTTTATCATCTTGCAGCTTTGAACCTGGAGTAGGCAAAAGAAGCAAGGACTGTCTCTCAGCCTTTATGGCTGCTCTGAACCAGCTTGTAAATGGCTGCACGATCATTTAAGGCAGACATGTCAAACACAAGGCCCGGGGGCCGGATGCAGCCTGCGAAGTGGTTTCATGTGGCCCGCGAAGCCATCCTGGAAACAGTGAGGGAACGGCCCCTGCCGCGTCAGCACCGCCCGCTGGGTGCATGCTGGGGAGGTGTCACCCTTTGTGGGGAATGAAGAAATGCACCATCGCCTGGAAGTGGCCAGCAAATCGCCTCTCCTACTTCACATATCCGGCTTGATGGGTTCTGCCCTGGTCCCACCCCCTTCTGCCAGAGACCCCCAGATTTGTCCCACTCCTGTACAAACCCACACAGGCGCCCTCGACGCGAACGATGTAGAGCTGGCCATGCCCACCCAGTAGGCCACACCCACTCCATCCACGCCCACCCAGTAGCCCCCCCCCAAGGGCAACTGCAATGCTGATGCGGCCCTCAATGAAATTGAGTTTGACACCCCTGATTTAATGTAACTTAAAAAATCACAGATCCTTTCTTCGGCCCTTTGCGTGGAAGATTTTATAAGAAAGTAAAGAATAGCTTTAGCAGATTGTGCCTCAAATCCATCAACTTCCCCGTAGGGGGCCCTTGCTGCTCTCTGTGCTTAGTTGTTTCCTTGCAGATGTTTCTTGACCCAACAGACTTCATCGTCGTTTCAGTGGGAGACGGGGAGCATCCTAGACCAAATCAGGTCCAAAAAAGTGCTAAAGCAGAGTTCTCCAATGTTTCCCGCTTTGAGGACCAGTGAGGCGGGAAGCAGATGGTTTGTGCAAGCAACCGGCAAGTGTGCATATGCGCGTGCAGCTCGATTTGCATCAAGAGGCGTGCACATGGGCCTGCTGCTCACACAAATGGAGCGCGTGGCGCGGGCATGCTCACTCACTGCTTGTGTAAGTGAGGATGTGCGGGCATGCACACACACTGGCTAGCCGTTCTCAGAGCCCAGTTTGGGGACCCCTGTGCTAAGGATTGCGGGATGCCTGGCACTCAGGCAAATTGGCCATCAACAGGCACATAGAGATAAACAACATCTATGTACCATTCAGAAGAGACGATCCAAAAGGCAAAAAGGAAACAAAGACCAAAACACTTCCTCACCAACAGTCAACAACTAGATGAGCAGAGATTAACACTGATTAACATTAGAACAACAATCAAGAAGTAAACAATATCCCAATCGAGGAACTACCAACTCAGATACACAGTAAACAACAGCTGTCAAGAATCAAACTTTGGCAGCTATGTGCCTCTGCTTTTCAACTTGCCTTTAGATTAAGGAGAGGGAGGTGTTACTTTCAAGTGGGTAAGAAGCAGAAACAAAACTTCTTCGATTCAGCAGAAGACCGTGGGAGCCTGAAGCCTTGTCAAGGGCACCAGAACAGGTGTGGATTTGAAGCAGACAGTTCCCGTAGCGAAGTGAACTTGTTGATATGGATTGCGTTAAAACATTGGGGGTTTGGCTGGGAAAATTGTTGCTTAAGCCTATGAATTGGTGTTGGAACCTCAGAGTTAGTTCTGCTTCGACAAAACCATGCGGTGTATTCAATAAACAGTTAGATTTTCAAGAACGGGATGAACCTGGAGTTTTATTTGGATTCTCGAAGCTGGATGTTGACAACAGCCTAATCAAGGAACCATCAAGATGACTCTTACCAACACTGACAGGGCAAACCTCTCGTATATAAACAGAGAGCAAACTTCACCTCCTTCAAGCACTGATGATGTTACCTAGTTGGGTCATGAAACGCCTGCAAGAAAACCACCAAGCTCAGAGAGCACCAAGGACCCTACAGATTTTTTCTTCTTCTTCTTCCTCTCCTCCAGAAACCCCCCTCCCTTCTAGGACTGATGATGTTACCTAGTTGGGTCATGAAACGTCTGCAAGAAAATCACCAGACTCAGAGAGCAACAAATATTGTCTTCTATTGGTAACATTTTCTGCGACATCCTCTAGCTAATTTTATATCCCAAAGTTTCACTCAGAGGTTTATTGTTTCCATGAATAAAGTTGAAGCACCACAGCGAGAACGCAGAGAGGTTTAAATTGGAGCTATCTAATGATGCATGTGAAGGAGAAGTGTTTGGAATTGAATGGGACTTGATAGCACTGAAAGGGGGGGGGAAACTCTTTGTCTTAGTCCAGTGTTTCTCAACCTTGACCATTTTAAGGCATGTGGACTTCAGCTCCCAGAATTCCACAGCCAGCATTGCTGGCTGTGGAATTCTGGGAGTTGAAGTCCACATGCCTTAAAATGGTCAAGGTTCAGAAACACTGTGACTTAGTCAGACCTAGTTTTGACTATGGGTTTTGATTTAATTAATAATTGAATTATTAATTGAATTAATAATTTAATCTCTCGACCTTGCCGGAGATGTTGGGTTGCTAAGGCTGATGGATCACTTGGTAGCAGATGTCTTCTCCTGCCCCCTCCCCAGACATTTACGCTTAATGTGTCAGGCTTAAAAGAAAGCAAAGGCACGTGCCTTCTAATATAGTTTCCCGACCTGCAAAAAGCAACTTTATCTCGGTAATGAGTCGGCTGTGGGGAATGAATTGAGACTCATGAAGGAAGCATCTCAAGAAGATAATTGAAGACAACGGTGGCCAAATCCAGGAGATAATTGAAGGAGGGAAGCGAACACAAAATGTGGGAGGGATTTTTTCCTGTTTTGCCCGTCCTCATCAAAATTTAAAGACCTCGTGCTGAAATATTCCGGATGAAGTTCTTTTCTTACAAGAGAAAAAGAGAAATAGCGCCCACCCTGGATTTATTGAGTGTTGTAAAATTTCTCTTTAATTTCTCCTGAATATCCTCACATCGTTTATCGTTTTAAACCCATCCCCGATGTATTTGTTTGTTAACAGCATTAGGACCTGCTGTTTCGGAAGGAGAACGGACGGCTCGTCATATTTGTTTGTATATATTGTGTATTGTTTTATCCCTAGTGGTGCCTATGACGTTGGGGGAGTTGATTGTGGGTTAGTGTGTGAGGGAAGTGTCTAGCCAGGATCCTGGTTCTCCATCCTTAGGACCAGCAGAAGTATTTGAATAGGCTTTTGGGGGGGGGGGAATGGAATTTTAGCCTCCATCAGTTGGAAGGCATGAAGCTGCAGAGCTCTGGATGAATTAGATAAACGGCCTCGCTATTCATATATAGATTTATTTTGTGAACTAATGTATTTTAAAATGTAACTTGTAACTTAATATAACTTTACATACACATACATACATACATACATACATACATACATACATACGTGGCCTATATTAATATATAGAACACTGATTTTATTTTGTGAACTAATGTATTTTAAAATGTAACTTGTAACTTAATATAACTTTATACATACATACATACATACATACATACATACATACGTGGCCTAGATATTAATATATAGAACACTGATTTTATTTTGTGAACTAATGTATTTTAAAATGTAACTTGTAACTTAATATAACTTTATACATACATACATACATATATACATAAGTGGCGTAGATATTAATATATAGAACACTAATTTATTTTGTAAACTAACGTAATTTAAAATGTAACTTGTAACTTAATATAACTTTATACATACATACATCTTATCTAATTAACCAGACATCTTCATCTTACTTGTATCATATCAATATGTGCTCTTTTCCTACATCGTTGCTGCTAGCTATCTGGGTATTTCATGCCCTGCACTAAATAAATGGATCTGGGTTAGCAATGAGCGTCTGCAAAGGGCTACGTAAAATTCCCTCGTGGAGAAAAAGAGGGTCAGAAGAAGTTCTGCAGATCTTCGCCCTTCAGCCGTGGAACCACATTTCTTCTCTTCCATTCTTTCTCCTTTTTTTTCTCGTCCTCTCCGATTGCTGCCTGCTTCAACCTGTGCTTCTTCTCCTTCTCCAGGGATTTCGCCTACGTAGCCCGAGACAGAGAGACACGGATTCTGAAATGCCACGTGTTTCGATGTGACACCCCAGCAAAAGCCATCGCCACGAGCCTCCACGAAATCTGTTCTAAGGTGAGCCTGCTCTCCTTTTATTTGTTTGTTTTGTCATATTTACGTAGTTTATATGGGAGAGGGGTGACCCTTTGAGAGTTGTAGGCAACGAAATTTCCATTTTAATGTATGCCGATTAGTATACATTCAAAGTGACAATAAAGTTATTATTCTGTTCTGTTCTACTCTACTCTACTCTACTCTTATTCTGTTCTGTTCTGTTCTACTGTTCTGTTCTATCCTATCCTATCTTATCATTCTATTCTACTCTACTCTACTCCTGTTCTGTTCTGCTGTTCTGTTCTATCCTATCCTATCATTCTATTCTACTCTACTCTACTCTTGTTCTATTCTATTCTGTTCTACTCTACTCTACTCTACTCTACTCTACTCTACTCTACTCTACTCTACTCCTGTTCTGTTCTGTTCTGCTCTGTTCTGTTCTGTTCTATCATTCTATTCTATTCTACTCTACTCTACTCCTGTTCTGTTCTGTTCTGTCCTACCATTCTATTCTATTCTACTCTACTCTACTCTACTCTACTCTACTCTACTCTACTCTACTCTACTCCACTCCACTCCACTCCACTCCACTCCACTCTACTCTTGTTCTGTTCTATTCTATTCTATTCTATTCTATTCTATTCTATTCTATTCTATTATATTATATTATATTATATTATATTCTTCCTTAAGTCCAGGTTGCTTCTCTCCCTGAGAGGTTCCCATCCTTTGCTTCTTGTCCTGCCTTCAGGTGCTTTGGAGAATAGCTTGACTCCCTCTTCTTTAGGGCAGCCCCTGAGATACTGGAAGACTGCTATCATGTCCCCCCTCGTCCTTCTCTTCGTTAAACATGACATACCCAATTCCAGCAACCGTTCCTTTATATGTCTTAGCCTCCAGTCCCCTCATCATCTTTGTTTCTCTTCTCTGCCCGATGGCATCATTCGATTTATGAGAGGAGGAACATGAAGCTCAAAGGCCACTAAATGTATTTTCCTTCTGCACCTTATCATGCAGACCCCATATTTTAGGGATGGGCCACAATGGGGCTTCGTCTTCAGCAGCCCAGCTGCCTTTGCACCTGCGTGCTCATTTTGTGCAGTTGTGTTTGCTGCAGGGTTGGTCCTAGAACTGCAGTGGGGCAGCTGAAAGACTGATTTGTAGAAGATTGGGCTGCAAATAAATTGTGCCTATTCACACATGCCTTACAGGCTGAAAAAGATCTCCTTAAATTAAAGAAAAATATAACATTGTCCATTCAGCTCTGTCCTGATGTTTCACCTAGTGGTGGTTGCCCACGTCTATATCCCACTGTGATAAGCTTCATAAAACCTACGCCTGCTTTAGCTTAATCTGAAGCTGGTTCCTACAAACAGATTAATATCCTGAACCATTAACTGCTTGACCTGCATGAAACCCAAGCGAGATTTCCTCCACGACAATTCTGCCCGGGTTCCTACATCATCTGGACTTCTCGTAGAATCCCTCAACTAAATTCCATTTTCCGGAGTCTGAATGTGGATCCTCGAAAACAGGGGTGGTGTTAACAAATGAAATTCTCGCCCGGAGAGGACAATAAATCGTACTCTTCTCATTTTTCTGCAGATTATGGCTGAACGGAAAAATGCCAAAGCTGTGGCTTGCAACTCATTACAAGAACGGACGGCTGTCACCCTTGATGTTCCTTTGCAAGGTAAAACCTGTGACAATGTATAGGTTTATTTTCAAAGTCACCGTAGGAGAAGGAGTGTGTGGTGGGGTGAAGACCCTCACCTGCCCCTCGGAAGGTTGAGAGGTCAACCCTAGGTAGCGGCTGCTGTTTCTCTCCAGGGTTTAAAGAAAAAATACCTGTTGCGAATAGAATAGAATAGAATAGAATAGAATAGAATAGAATAGAATAGAATAGAATAGAATAGAATAGAAAATATGGAATGGAATAGAATAGAATAGAATAGAATAGAATAGAATAGAATAGAATAGAATAGAATAGAATAGATATATGGGAATAGAATAGAATAGAATAGAATAGAATAGAATAGAACAGAATGTAGAATATAGAATAGAATAGAATAGAATAGAATAGAATAGAATAGAATAGAATAGAATAGAATATATAAGGATGGTGATGGAATAGAATAGAATAGAATAGAATAGAATAGAATAGAATAGAATAGAATAGAATAGAATAGAATAGTGGAATGGAATAAGAATAGAACAGAACACAGAATAGAATAGAATAGAATAGAATAGAATAGAATAGAATAGAATAGAATAGAATAGAATAGAATAGAATAGACTAGAATAGAAAATATGGAATGGAATAGAATAGAATAGAATAGAATAGAATAGAATAGAATAGAATAGAATAGAATAGAATAGAATAGAATAGAATAGAATAGAATAGAATAGAATAGAAGGGCACCTGGCCAGTAAACGCTCAGCTCCATCCATTCACCCAAAGTCCACCCCAAATGAAGGGATCAGAGGGTCATAAAAAGGATTTTTTTTAACTGTAGGAGAAAGAATGGCAGAACCTGGGGGGAGGAGTGAAAAGAGGAATCAGCCTAGAATCCCTGCATAGCCACAAGCAACCTCCCTTAAATTCTGTTGATCCGTATCTAACTCTAACCAGGTGCTGACCATTAGTTTAGAACAGGGGTGTCAAACTCAATTTCATTGAGGGCCGCATCAGCATTGCAGTTGCCCTCGGGGCGGCCGGGTGAGTGCGGCCTAGTGGGTGGGCGTGGATGGAGTGGGTGTGGCCTGCTGGCTGGGCGTGGCCAGCGCTACATCATTCGCGTCAAGTGTGCCTGTGGGGGGCCTGGGCAGAAGTGGGACAGATCTGACGGTCTCTGGCAGAAAGGGGTGGGACCAAGGCAGAGTCCATCAAGCTGGATATGTGAAGTAGGCGAGGGCCATTTTCTGGCCATTTCCAGGCGATGGTGCATTTCTTCATTCCTCACAAAGGGTGACACCTCCCCAGCATGCACCCAGGGGCGGGGGCAACGCGGCAGGAGCCAGTTCCTCGCTGTTTCCAGACGGCCTTGTGGAGTTAAGACTGAATGCGTTTCAGCCTAGATGGCCACCACAAAATTGTACATTGGCTCCCAGCCGGCCTGGGCCAGGGCCAAGGCAGCGGGGGCCGTTCCCTCACTGTTTCCAGGACGGCTTTGCGGGCCACATGAAACCACTTCGCGGGCCTCATCCGGCCCCCGGGGCCTTGTGTTTGACATGTCTGGTCTAGAAGATTCTTGTGTGTAGGCTTTCAGCAATCAATCAGTTTAATTGGACCTTCAGTCGTGTGTGGGGTTTTTTTGCACCTGAAAGTCACAGCTGTATTCTGACTAAACCGGGCACCCTTTCCAACCGTTCTGCTAGTCAGAAATGTGTGGATCAGTGTTTCTCAACCTTGACCATTTTAAGGCATGTGGACTTCAACTCCCAGAATTCCACAGCCAGCATTGCTGGCTGTGGAATTCTGGGAGTTGAAGTCCACATGCCTTAAAATGGTCAAGGTTGAGAAACACTGGTGTGGATGTTTTGATACGTTTCTTAGGTAAACTCCTTCCTCCAAGAAGAAGAGAGGATTTATTATGCAAAATGAAGATTTATAGCACCCATTTCCCGTCATTCCCCAGATACCAATGAGGATCCTTTTTTAATAGGACGTGGAGCAGAGATTTGTCGGAATCAACAATATGATCAGCTGATATCTCACTCCGGATCCTGGCATTCAAATAAAACAGAGTTGGGGGGTGGCCTGATGTGAATTGTGTAAGATGAAATTGATGTTTTGCTTCCTTGCAGTAGATTTTCCAACACCAAAGACTGAGTTGGTCCAGAAATTTCATGTGCACTACCTGGGCATGCTGTCTGTCATTAAGCCAGTGGGTATGTAAGCATATTTTTTTTCTCATGACTATCTTTAAATGTGTTCTTTGTGGTGAATTACGCTGGGGAAGATACAACCTAAGATCACACACTAGTCCCCATAGCACAGTGGTTCTCAATCTGTGGGTCGGGACCCCATTTGGGGTTGAACGACCATTTCACGGCGGAAGCCAAACAATGCAGTCCACCATTTTTTTCCCCCTTTTCCTTAGCTGTGTACTCCCTTTTATTCTATTGGCTTTTGAAAGCCAATAGAATAGGCTCTCTTGAATAGAGTCTAATTCTATTGGCTTTCAAAAGCCAATAGGAATTGTCCAGGCTGTCTCTGCCCTGCTGAGCCCGCCAAAAGTTCCAGTCTGCAAATGGTGCTGCATCAGTTGAGTAGTCCTCGACTTATGACCGGTTGAGTAGTCCTCAACTTACAACTGGTTGGGGGTTGTGGCATTAAAAAGGTTGAGAACCACTGCCATAGCACAATTGTGCAGTCCACGATGATCTCTGAGCTTGGTTGTCTCCTTACCTACATTTCATGACCCAGCTACATAACATCAACAGTGCTGATTCCATCACTCATCATCTAATACAGTGGTTCTCAACCTGTGGGTCGGGACCCCATTTGGGGTCGAACGACTATTTCACAAGGGTCGCCAAACAAGGCTGTCCACCATTTTTTCCCCCTTTTCTTTGGCCACACCCCTGGCACCTGGTGATGTATAAGTGGTTGGGGGTCACCACAACATGGGGAACTGTATTATGGGTTCGCGGCATTAGAAAGGTTGAGAACCACTGATCTAATATGTGACAAAAGTTACTGATGATGCTCCCTAGTTGGGTCATGAAACATCAGCCAGAGAGCATCAAAGACCCCACAGTTCAACCCTGAGCTACAAAGATTCTGTCAGTGCTGAATTTCCTGGAATCCATGTGATACTTTGAACCTGCTAAACAGATTTGCTAGGTTCATACAACACATTAAACCGCTCAAAATCTAACCACAGGTACACTTAACGTATTGTGGGAGTGCAACTTAGTTTGCACTTAGTGCAAACACTAAGAAGCCCACACAGTTTTGGAACCCCTAGATTATTTTGTGTTGCATTTTTAACGCAAAGGAGCAGATTTTTCACCCAGACAAAGTTCCCACAGTAACTATAGGATTGAAAATCTAGAAGATAGAGTGGCAGAGAGAGAAACAGATTGGATGGAGAGAGGAAAGAAAAGAAGGAAGTTTAAGCCTAAGGTTAAGGTTGATCTAGACCAGTGGTTCTCAACCTTTTTAATGCCGCGACCCCCCAACCGGTCGTAAGTCGAGGACTACTCAACCTGTCGTAAGTCGAGGACTACTCAACTGGTGCAGCACCGTTTGCAGAATGGGACTTTGGGCGGGCTCAGCAGGGCAGAGACAGCCTGGACAATTCCTATTGGCTTTTGAAAGCCAATAGAATTAGACTTTATTCAAGAGAGTCTATTCTATTGGCTTTCAAAAGCCAATAGAATAAAAGGGAGTAGCACAGCTAAGGAAAAGGGGGGGGGGAAAATGGCAGACTGCGTTGTTTGGCGACCCCCGTGAAATGGTCGTTCGACCCCAAATGGGATCCCGACCCACAGGTTGAGAACCACTGATCTAGACCAAAGAAACAAGTTTAAGCAAAGGAAAACCAAAATGTTGTGTGTCCCTCAAAAGTTCTAAGGCTGTGCGTCTGTTGTCTCTGTTCTTTGGAAGGTATGGACACGCTGAACGGAGCTATAGAAAGCCTGACGGAGTCCTCTAACAGAGAAGACTGGATAGCTGTCACCATGAACGTTGCGGATGCTACTGTGACCGTCATCAGCGAAGGAGTACGGTCCCTTCAACTTGTCTTATTTTAATACTAGGATCTGTAACTTGACCCAAAACTTAATTTTTCTCCAAGCCTTTTCTATATGCAGTAAGGTTGCGGGCGAAATGCAGAAAAGTCCGTACGTAGCGTCAGAATAGATTTGGTGATGGCAATTGATAATTTGCGCCGCATTTTCAAGACACACAGACACACACACACAACCTTTTGCCATGTGCTACTATCTTCACTTACAAAAATATCCAAACTCTCAATTTAATTAGCATTAAAAAAAAAAAAACCTTGAAATCAGTGAGGCTTTCAAGCTGTAATTATTCCAGATTTAGGGGGAGAAAATTAAACGAATTCCATCGATCCTGCCTACGGTCTAATTAACTAGAAAGTTAATTAACTTTAACTAGAAGATTAAGCCGTGGAATACGGCGTAGAGGGAGTGTGTTCTGCCAGCTGTGTACAGAAATAACGAAAAATTAAGTGTGCTTTGCACTCAGAGGCAGTATTTCTCACCTTTGGCCATCTTAAGATGGGTGGACTTCAGCTCCCAGAATCCCCCAGCCATCAGGAGACTTTACCAGGTTTTACCATAGCCACCATCTTCACCATTGTGCCCTGTGGATGTTCCTGATGGGACACCCCTGATTCGCACCTCAGTTCATCGACCCCCTAATACAGATTTACGGTTTCCCCCTTACACTAAAGTGTAACAGCAACCACTTTTCCTCCCCATCTAGAATGAAGAGGAGATTGTGGTGGAATGTCGTGTCCGCTTTTTGTCCTTCATGGGTGTGGGGAAAGACGTACATACGTTTGCCTTCATTATGGACACGGGAAACCAGCATTTCGAGTGTCACGTCTTCTGGTGTGAACCCAACGCTGGCAACGTCTCCGAGGCCGTTCAAGCTGCTTGTATGGTAAGTAGGACGATTCTATGAGTCAGGGGTCTTCAAACTTGGCCAGTTGAAGACTTGTGGACTTCAAACGCCCAGAATTCCTCAGCCAGCCCCAGATTATACAAAAGTTCTATTTGTGTAAGCAGTTAGAAAGTCTGGAGCGTGGACTCGGCGGAAGCCAGCAGGCGGCTGGAATCCACAGCTGTGCCTGAACTAACAAGTTGCTCACAAGATAGGTGAAATTGTAAGAATGCATACTAGCCACAGGGAACCAGGGATTTGTAAAATTGCTGCTGGGGGGAAAACAGCACAGGTCATTGCAAGAGATCGTTGTTTAAAATAAAGACTTCTATGATGTAGAGCAGGGCTTTTCAACCTTTTCACCCATTGTACCACTTTTAGGATATGGCGACATCCGAGCACCACCAGTCGCCTAGCAAGGTGTCAAAAACTTGATGACCAAAAAAAAAAAGAAAGAAAAAAGTGATAAAGTACAGGTAGTCCTTGACTTACAACAGTTTGCTTAATGACTGTTCGAAGTTACAATGGCACTGTAAAAGATAGCCCCCAAGCCACAGCCGAGAAAGACACCTGCCTGCCCGCAGGCGCTCTTCCTCCTGTCCGAGGTTTTCATTGTTGTGAGCATTTCTGTTGAGGATTGGCACCGGGGGTGTTTGGTTTTTATTCCCCCCGTCTGCTGGGTGGTTGCAGCAGGTTTTGGTCACTTCACATGACCCTGGGACACAGTGACCGTCATAAATATGAATCAGTTGCCAGGCATCTGAATGTAAATCACAAGACCCTGGAGAGGCTGCAACATTCCAGATGATTGGTGCTTCTTCAGGGCTCAACAGAAGCACCAGGATCAGTGCCAAGCTCCAGCAGGATCCTGGCGCTTCCACTGAGCCCTGACAGCCCCGAAGAAGCGCCGATCAGCTGGAAAGAGGCACTGAATCTGGCGCTTCCGCTGAGCCCTGATAGCCCTGCAGCTCCAGCCGTCTCTCGCTCAGGCTTGTGCGGTGCTGCCACCGATTCAGCTCATTCCCCTCCCCCGCTACCACTTTTCTAGGATGGTCACGTACCACCTGCCAGGTGCCAATGTACCACAGGTGGTACCCGTACCACTGGTTGAAAAGCCCTTATGTAGACTGATCTTGTCTACCATCTCTCTACTGGGGTATTTAAATAAGTATTAACTGGATCCTATTAATAAAGATGCCCTTTATCAATGCATAACAGTAATGACCTATGAAACGGAGATTGGTCGTTTGTAATTTTAATACAATCCCTCAAATGAAAGAGAACATTTGCATGTGTTCATGAGCAGGCTCAAACTGCTTAATGTCTCCTCCTTCAGTGTCTGCCCTGTAGCCTCCGATACCAAAATTGCCAATAAAGTCTTCAAGGGATTCGGTGGCTTGAGTCTCTGGGTTAAACAGCCCCCTTTTAGGGAGTCTTAAGGTAGGGTGCAAAGCTACCATACGAGCCGTGGTGGCGCAGTGGTTAGAAGGCAGCATTGCAGGCTGACACTGCCCACTGCCAGCAGTTCGATCCTGACCTCAAGGTTGACAGCCTTCCGTCCTTCCCAGGTCAATAAAATGAGGATTGTTGGGCACAATAGGCTGACTCTGTAACTGCTTAGAGAGGGCTGTAAAACACGGTGGAACGGTATATAAGTCTAAGCGCTATGATGGTGATACACTGTTGTTGTGTTGCAGCTGCGGTATCAGAAGTGTCTTGTCGCCCGGCCTCTTTCTCAGAAAGTCCGCCCGCCGCCTCCTCCAGCAGACTCCATGACGAGACGGGTCACCACCAACGTAAAACGCGGGGTCCTGTCCCTGATTGACACTTTGAAACAGAAGCGTCCTGTGACTGACATGCCGTGACGGACCCGCCCCCCCAGCATTCCCGAGGCGTCACGCAAAACAAGACAGCGGCCGCGTTCAAAGACACAAGACGGGATAAAGGCCTTCCTTCCGTTGAAAATCCTTCCCTTTCGGGAAAGTTGCCCTTATCGGAAATAATATTAGACAAAAGCATGTTCTCACTTTTGCCGCCACCGTGTAATATTGGGAAAAAAAGAAGCATGACTTTCTTTTTTTTCTTTTAATGTTCATTTTATTTTTTTCGCTCCTTGTGAGATGCGGTCCTCGAGACAAAGGGGAAGGCCCCGCTTCCCGATTGTAAATAGGACGGACGTGACTTCGATTCACACATCCAGAAAGGATGGGTGCATTCCTCCCCGCCTCCCCATTTTGGCAAAGAAGCGACCCGAGGATTCTCATAGCTCCTGAGCACTTTTCTCTCTCTTTTTTTTAACAGTGAATTTACACACCGAGTATTAGTTACTGTTGTAGTATTATACTACTAATACCAGGCTTCTTGTTTTTTTTACAAAAGAACGTTCGGGATTAACCTTCCATCTTGTTTACCGTCGTCGTCCCTTCATCTTGAGAGATGCCAGTCAGGTGCCCTGCCGTGGAGACAACGGAGGGTGCCCGCTAGGCGACAACAACGTGTGGCAACCCCGTGCATCCGTAGGTCACCGCACATCCAAGTGTGCAGCCTCTGTCCTTCCTTGTCTCTTTCTAGCACAAGTGTATGTACGCCGATGAAGGCAGGCCACCGTCGCATCAAATCTCTCTCTCTCTGGCTTGTGTGGTGTTTCTTTCGGAGAAGGGCCGTCCGCGTCGGAAACCCAACGCCATATTTGAAGTGGCCTTCAGTCCGAAATTGCGTTTGTTTACATACTAGTCCACGTTTTGAGAAGTTTGGCAGCATAGACTGGGTTTTATTTCGGGACAGAATCCACCCCCTACGCTGAGGACGCCAAGGCTCAAGTGCCTCCTAACCCTTTCGTAGATCCAGGTTATTCTTTTCGGCCAAGAAACGGGCACGGAAATGATCACTTCAAGCTTGTGGATGAGGCAGAGGAAGCTACAACTGTGAAGTCAAGACGGATGGCTTCCCCTCGTGATAAAATGGCATGCAATAGAGTTGGCTGCTGCATTCAGACTGTACACTGGTCCGGGACCATTAATATATATATAGATATATATAGATATATATAGATATATATAGATATATATATATAGATATATATAAATGTCGGTGAAAACAAAGGATGTTCACTAGTTGCTTTTCTTACCGATAGATTTGCACGGAAGTGATCATCATGGATTTCTTCGGACATGGGTCCCTGATATTCAAATGGTGTCCTCTGTTTTTGCTCTGTGAGATCCGTTCAACTTTGCAGCTTTCTTAGGAACTTTCATCGGATGGCGAGGTTGAAACAATGAGAAACGATGCTTTCTTCAGGAGATGTTTGGGTTGAAAACACAAACAGATGTACGGCGGTCGGCATTCCGAAGTCCCGAGTAGCACGTGTCATGCCAAGCCACGACCCTTGTGGTGGTTCCTTCTACCTTGTGATTGCACCTTACACAATGTGTGGTTTCCATTGACCAGGAGTGGCTGCAGGGTTTGGTTTTTTTAAAAAAAAAAAACTCAAATTGGCCGCAAGACTGGCATTCAAGTCCCAAAGGGTGCTTGTTCAGGAGGCAACTGGACTTTCTTGTTTTTCTTTGAAGGCCACTTGGAGGTTTATCTGTGTCCTCAGGGTCACCTGAGTGGTGCAAATGGGTGTGGAACACAGTCCTTTCAGTAGTTCCAAGAATTCCCCACACCAATTTGCACTACTCAGATGACCCTGAGGACACAGATAATCCTCCAAGTGGCCTCAACGACTCTCTAAAAGAAGGCAAATGACCAGTTGTCTCCAAGGAGTATAAATCCTTCCATTCCCCACCATCCAGGCAGAGCTGAAGAAGCTTCTTGGATGAGAAGCGAAACGTCTTCAAAGAAAAACAAGAAAGTCCAGTTGCCTCCTGAAAAAAAGCAGCTTTGGGACAACCCTGACCTGCATGATGGAGAATCTGCACAGTCTGGCATTGAAGCACCACCTGATTTTTATGGGCATCACAGGTGGCGCTTCGGTCTCACTGCTGTGGCTGACATCTTCAGGTGTGGATCACACCTGCCTGATGCCCTTGGGGCAGTTGACTGTTTAATCCGTTTATGTGTGTTTTTGATCACTTGTATACCGTGTCGCACGAGTTCACCCGATGCTCTGCCAAAGGAACAAGCTTAGAATTCCCCAGGGACAGATGGAGCTCTTTGGGGGTGATGGAAGAGATAAGAGGAAGACTAGGGAGACCTGAGATTTCCGACGACCTGTTCACTGATGCTCTTGGTCTTCGCATCTTAGACAGGGACAAATGGAGCCACGATTCCGGCTTGACCAAGCGTTCAAATGGTGCACACTTTACAAACCAAAACCTCACTCCATTATCCTGTCCCATCGAAAACACGGAGTCCTATCTCAATCAGCCCAGAATGAAGTCGCTCAAATTTGGCAACTTCAGATCGGGTGGACTTCACCTCCCAGAATTTCCGCAACCAGCCTGGCTGGCTGAGGAATTCTGGGAGATGAAGTTCACAGGTCTTCGAAGTTGCCAAGTTTGGCGGCGGGGGGGGGGGAACCTGACCTAAAGCAACCTTCTCTTAACTGTCCTTTGAATGGTTTGGACCAGGGGTCTTCAAACTTGGCCCTTTGATGACTTGTGGACTTCAACTCCCAGAATTCCTCAGCCAGGCACGCTGGCTGAGGAATTCTGGGAGTTGAAGTCCACAAGTCATCAAAGGGCCAAGTTTGAAGACCCCTGGTTTGGACAGTGGTTGCTCCAGCAAGATCAAACCTTGAGAGAGGCAGAGATTCTTGGACAATTAACCATGCCTCCTGAACGCTCGTCTCTTTTGCTTAACACTTGACACAATTATAGCTTGTCAGCCTAAACACCACTTCGTAAGTGTGCTCTTTTCCTACACAAGTATATGACGGCTTGCTGTAAACTGGCCCTGATCCACACAAATGAAAAGAAGCAACTGGGAATAGCGTAGAGTAGAAAGCCAAGGTGGACCTATCAAAACTTTCCTTTCTTCAGTTCTCTCAGAATAGCCCACTCCGTTTCCTTCTTGCTCCAAAGAACGTTCAACGTTGAGCTAAGCTTTTGCTATGCTCTAGAGCAGGGGTCTTCAAACGTGGCCCTTTTATGACTTGTGGACTTCAACTCCCAGAATTCCTCAGCCAGGCACGCTGGCTGAGGAATTCTGGGAGTTGAAGTCCACAAGTCATAAAAGGGTCACGTTTGAAGACCCCTGGATTACAGCATCTCTCGAACCATCATGGTCGCCGGCCAACCTAGTTGGAGATGCTGGAGAACCAGAAGCCATCTAGAAGGACCTAGACAAGAAAAGGGTGATCTAGAACAGGGCTCTTCCAATGTGGCCCTTTGATGAATTGTGGACTTCAACTCCCAGGATTCCTCAGCCAGCGTGCCTGGCGGAGGAATTCTGGGATTTGAAGTCCACAAGTCATCAAAGGACCAGGTTTGAAGAGCCCTGCTCTAGAGGCAGCAGAAAATTGCCTGTGGTTCACACCCAGAACATTAAAAGGATGGTGTCACAATCACATAACCTTCAACCCACGGCTTCCCGAAGGAGCCGGTCCACAAATCCCAGTGTTGGCTTCTTGTGCATGTGTGTAACTAGTTCACAGGGCTCCACATCTAAATCCAGAAACAGTCTTCCACCGTTTTTAAGCTGTATAGCTATCTAGATATGTGTGTATATGTATTTTTCAGGTCAAGGTTACTTTTTATTGTCTGATATTCTGACATAACCACCTATGCAAAGAAGACATAACTTCTGGGTGAAGGAAATAAACTAACCTCTATGGGTATAAAAAAACCGAACGGTTGTTAAAGAAGACGGAAATGATCAATCACGTTCTTGTTTCCTTAAATTGCGCTAAAATGTACATCTGACCTTAACGCGCCCCCCCCCATTGCAACTCTGTTAAAGAGCCCCACTTTTTTGCACCCACCTCCTCTTTTTTTTCAGAAACTGCACGCTAATGATCAATGTTTATTCTTTTCAAATCTTATTTGGAATAAATTCTCGTAAGGGATACCCAAATGCGGATACTTGAAATTTTAACACAAGAATCGGTCTTGACCAAAAACCAGAAGGGTGGCCTTGATCAAAGCCCCGCCCCTTTTCTAGATAAGAGGGTGGGGCCATGTTGTACGGTTCTGACTCCCATCTTGACTCTTTTTTTTTTTGCCATCCAGAAAATCCACCCTATGGATGTCCCTAACCCAAGAATTCTGTATATTTCCTGAGCCGGTTTTTCTGGAACACTCCTCTGGGTTTGGCAAGCAATGGAGAACACAAAATCCTCACTTTTGCTTTTGGGGACATCCGTGACCGATCTGGATGATAGACAGGAGTTTTAAAAACTTGGCATTCAAGATTTTGGTGTTAAGCTGGGCTGGTGGGCAAGGAACCCCTTTCAAGTCGAGAATTTGGAACACATTGGAGAAACCTCGTTGGATTTTTTCCGAAGTTAGCTAACCACTTTAGCTTTGGTTACCAAAAATGGCTTTGGATAGACAAGTTCAGGATGTTTTCTTTATCCAATAAACTGGGTTTCTCCCCCCCCCACCTGCGCCCCCCAGCAAATGGATGACAGTGTGAACAAAGCCCAAATGACAGTGTTGTCGTGCTGCTTCTGTGATCTATGCATTCTTTGCATCTCTTTGTAAGGAACTGTTTCCTGTGGTTTGTTTGGGAGAAGCCAATTCAGGTGCACGTTTCCGTGTTTCGCAGGCAGTCCTCGACTTACACAGCGGAGGCCCAAATTGATGTTACTAAACGAAACATTGGCTAAGGGAGTTTTGCCTCGTGTCACGACTTTTCTGGCCACCGTTCTTAAGGGGATCTGTTAAATTAGTGACAACGGTTGTGTGAAGTGAACCTGGCTTCCCCGAATGACTTTGCGGGTCGCGAAAGGGGATCCTGTGATTCCGGGGAGGGGGGGGACACTGCAACCGTCATAAATGTGAGTGAGTTGCGCAAAGCGTCTGAATTTTGATCACGTGACCACGGGGGGGAGGCTGCAACGGTCTCAAGAGTAAAAAAAACAGTCATAAGTGCGGTTGTCACTCCGAACGGTCACTAAATGAATCTTTGTTAAGTCGAGGACTACCTGTATTCTAGTTTTATCGAACTATCCATTTATGGAGTGTCCGGACCAGGGATAGGCAACCTTGGCTCTTTTATGACTCGTGGACTTCAACTCCCAGAATTCCTGAGCCAGCCATGCTGAGGGGAAAGGGAGAGGTTTCCAAGCTGAGCCATGCTGCCTCAGGAATTCTGGGAGTTGAAGTCCACCAGTCATCAAAGAGCCAAGGTTGCCTACCCCTGGCCTAGGGCGAACATTTCTGAATGCGCAAACCAGCTCCAAAATGTGTATACGTTAACAGCCAAACTAATTTGTTGTTTCGCATTGGAGGAATTTTTTTTTTTTTTTAAAAAGAAGAAAGCAAAGGAAATAATTAATCAGGAATTGTTTAATATGCTCAGTTTCCAGTTAACCGTACGGCATAAAAACTTGATGATTTATACTGAGTTGCTAATGAAGTCTGGTGTCACGTTGGAAGCCAAAATGAAAGCATGTTAATAAGGAAAATCCCTTGCCTAAATGTTTTTACTTTCTTTCGTGTAGTTACAATTTCTCTTTCAAAGCAAATTTATACTTTCAAAGTGCTATTCTTTCTTAAGAGCAGGCTTTGAAGCAAGCAGACGTCTACAGAGATCACGCTGAAGGGCAGACCGGACCTTCTAAAGGCGGAAAAAGGGAATGCATTCCCAATTCCCAAGAAAAAACGATCTGAAATATATCAGGGATAAAAACGTAGCCTCTTTTTTTTCTACTTATGTAGCCTCCCCCCCCCTTTTCATTTACATGTAACGGTTCGCCTTAAAACTCAGCCGCTTCAAATACATTCAGACCAAGCGCGTCTGTGGCGGCTTTAAAAAACTAATTAAGCGATAGCCCGCATCAACCTTTATAAAGTTTCCTCCAATGTTCTGCATAATCCAGGTGTGCTTTTTTTTTTTTGACATTCGAAACTGGATGCAAGCATGACATCATCATCATCATAAAAACCCAGCTTTGCAAAAACAGCTCGTTTGTAATAGAAAAGAACGTCAAAAAGAGATCCGCGTTTAAAATTTTCTTTCTAAAAGCACTTTGCGGCTTATCGTTTAAGGGCCCAAACGATATTCAGGAGCTGACCGTTAAATAAATGAACATCGGTCTTAAATTCCGAGAAAAATAAAAAATAGTAAGAAACCAAGATGGCGCCCACTTCAAAGCCACGGACGGGACTGCTTGGTCATCGTAGACGGGGAAGGCTCTTTCGACTTAAGCAGTCTTTTGGAGGCTGAAGGGCTCAGGGTCCCGTGTTTTGCTCCAATCCAACGATAGTAACAGTGATTGGTTGAAATCTGGGCCCTGTTCCCTTGAGGGTTGAAATACGGCATCATCACCGGGGGCAGAACAATCTCGACCGGCTTCAAAATCATGACGCGATCGTCGTTCTTGGGCTTGGCGGCGTTCCGTTGCTTCTCCAACACTCTTTGCAGGGTGGAGGTGGCGGAGGTGAGGTTATTTTTCGCCATCGCGGGCAGAGATGAATTGGAAAGAGGGTTACTGGCTTTCTTCAAGGCGACGGGCTCACTGGTTTGGCCCATCACCTGCGAGTTACTGGCAGCCACGCTCGGTACGGCAGAGCTGGTCTCCGTCATTCCAGATTTCATCTCTCGTTCCAGGAACTCCTGAATGCGAGACTGCATGACGGCCTCTTTGATCGGATTCTTGGACTGGGCGGCCCTCTGCTTCTTCTTCTTCTTCTCTTCTCTCTTGGACGGCTTTGCCAGGTCGATCCCATCCAGCAGGCCTTTGGCTGCGGCGCGGGCCAAAACGTCTTTCACTGACACGGATTCGGATGGATCTCGCTAAACCAAGCAAAGGACACAAATTAGCACAGCCGAACCCTACCAGGGAATTGCTGTCATAATACGAATTGTACCTTTGGGACAACCGTGACCTGGATGAAGCATGATGTCTGTACAGACGTTTAGACATTTAGAGCAAGTGTCCCCAACCCCCGGTCCATGGACCGGTACCGGGCTGCGGCATGCCAGCAACTGGGCCGCACAAACAAGCAAAGCTCCATCCGCGAGACGCAGGCAGCACACAAAGCCACATACCCTCCGGTCTGCGGAAAAACCTCTCTCCACGGAACTGGTCCCTGGTGCCCAAAAGGTTGGGGGGCCTCTGATTTAGAGTACAGAATTTACAAGCTGTTCATTCCAGAAAGTGCACCCAGCTGCAATTAGCCCTACAGGACACTGAATAGCAATGGAAATTCTACAGCATAAATTAAGGCCTTACCTGTACTCAGAAAGGTCATGAGTCCCAGTTAACAAAATCCCCCCCAAAAGATTCCTTTGAGTCTAGATCCGTTTGTCACATTCACCCCTTTAATTGGGAGTTCTCTTTTTTAACTGTTATAGCCTTAACTAAAGAAACGTAAATTTACTCAAAGCCTCACAATTCCAATTGTTCCCATTTCGGCTGCAAATTACTGCTATTTGGAACCCAGGAACTGTTAACAGTAGTGCCCATTTTACTAAGTATTGTAGGGCTAATTGTAGCCAGTTGCATTTTCTGGAATGAAAAGCTTGTTAATTCTGTATTCTAAATGACTAAATATCTATACAAAGACATCATGCTTCGTTCCCTTTTTTTTCTCTTTCTCTCTTTTTTGCAAATCATTATTCAGCAGTTAAAATACAAAACTCCAAAAAAGAAAATAAAAAAAATCACAGAAGCAAATAAACAAACCAAAGCAAACAAGCGAAATGTTGAAAAAGTGCATTTCAAAAAAACCCCTTCTACCTATTAAGTACTGTATTTGGCCATTAATGTAGTTAAGTAGAAGACAGGTTAATAATTTGTAAACAGAATTAGAACTTTGGGGGTGGGGGAAATTCTGGGGTCTGTTTCCCAAGGGGCGGGAAACTAACACTGTTATATATTTATCAGTGTTCAACTGGAGAGGCTATACTATCTGTGAACGTTCCCCTTGAAACTCATTTCGCTTTACCTCTCGGCTTAAGACAGCAATAAAGCAGCTGTTTGAAATATCGGAGGGCTCCAGATGAAAGAAGTTCTGTTCAGAGGTGTTGACTTCCAACTTAGAACACAAAGGAAGAACTGGCGGGCAAAGCCTGAAGCAGATACAAACACAGGATATTGAAGGCGTTACGTCAAATAAGCATGACTCAATTTACAGTCTCTTCTGTCATGTTCAAAAGCTGCACCAAGAAGCAACTGGGACTACGTTGTTTGGCCACTAAGCAAGCTGAAAACCAAAGGGCCTTGTCCAGGGGTAGGCAACCTTGGCTCTTTTATGACTGGTGGACTTCAACTCACAGAATTCCTGAGCCAGCATGGGGGAACCATGCCCCCCTTCATGACTTGTAGACTTCAACTCCCAGAATTCCTGAGACAGCATGGGGGAAACTATGGCCCCTTCATGACTGGTGGACTTCAACTCCCAGAATTCCTGAACCAGCACAGCTCATCTTGGAAACCTTTCCCCTCATCATGGCTGGCTCAGGAATTCTGGGAGTTGAAGTCCACCAGTCATGAAAGAGCCAAGTTTGCCTATCCGAGCTTGTCCCAAAGTTGCTTTGTTAGCTGGCAAATGGACTTTGGTTTTTTTTCCTCAAAGACATTTCGCTTCTCATCCCAGAAGCTTCTTCATCTCTGACTGAGTGGTGGAGGGCGGAAGGATTTGTATTCTTTGCAGTCATCTGGACGTTAGTGCTCCTTCTGAGAGTCACTGAGGCCTCTCGGAGGCTAATCTGTGCCCTCAAGTCACCTGAACAGTGCAAATGGATGTGGAACTGCTGAAAAGACTTGTAAGCAGGAGATAGGCGATGTCTGCAAGGAATATAAATACTTCCATCCTCCAGCATTCAGTCAGAACTAAAGAAGCTTCTTGGATGAGAAACGAAACCAAGGAAAAATAAAGTCCAGTTGCCTTCTGAAAGAAATACCTGGATGATGGAGAATCTTCACAAAGGACCTTGTCTCCCCATACATATCCCATAATTCAGATATTCTTATTTGCTGAATTATATCAAACAACGTTAGGTGGTACCGAGCCCATGTAACAATGTAGATTTGGTTGCTTTCAGCCTGGAGTCCAAAAGCAGATAGGATGCCTTATGCCTGGCAATTATTAAATATAAATATAATTGTAAAATTTTTTTGGGGGGGTGGGTTTTAAACCCACACTCCACCTTGAAGAGTGAGCAAAATGAGATATCCTAAGGGTGGCTTAATAAAAGTCGACCGTCAACATTGGTAGCGTTGAGGCATCACATTGGCATTGATAGAGAGGAGGAAGGGGGGCGTTACAGAGAGGTCCTCGGCTTATGACCACAATTAAACCCAAAATTTCCGGTACTGAGCAAGACAGCTGTTCAGTGAGTTTTGCCCCATTCTTCCCCATGCTGATTAAGTGAATCATAGCAGTTATATATATAGAATAGAGCTGGAAGGGACCTTGGAGGTCTTCTAGTCCAGCCCCCCATTCAAGCAGGAGAACCTATACCAGTGGTGGCAAATCTATGGAACGCGTGCCAGAGGCGGCACTCAGAGCCCTCCCAGTGGGCACGCGCACCGTTGCCCCAGCAGAGTTCGCCAGAGTAGCGAGCACGTGGCGTTTGGAAATCACAGGGCAGGAAGTGAGCAAGCGGTGTTGCCCCCCGCCCCCGGAGATGGCGAGGGACTGGCCCCCACCACCCTGGCCCCAGCCACACTCACCCAGTCTGCCGTAACCACTGCAACCACGCCCATCCAGTGGGCCACACCCCCACCCAGGGCACCACAAAGCTGATGCAGCCCTGGCACTTTGCGATAAATAAGTGGGTTTGGGGTTCGCCAAGGACGAGGGGGGACATGATAGCAGTCTTCCAATATCTCAGGGGCTGCCACAAAGAAGAGGGAGTCAAGCTATTCTCTAAAGCACCTGAAAGCAGAATAAGAAGCAACGGATGGAAACTCATCAAGGAGAGAAGCAACCTAGGACTAAGGAGAATTTTTCTGACAGAACAATTAACAAGTGGAACTCCTTGTCTCCAGAAGCTGTGAATGCTCCAACACTGGAGGTTTTTAAGAGGAGACTGGACAGCCACTTGTCTCAAATTGTATCGGGTCCTCTGCCTGAGCAGGGGGTTGGACTAGATGACCTGCAGGGTCCCTTCCGACTTGATTCCGATTCTGAACGTGCAACCCTTCATTTGGGAACCCTTCAAACTGCACCGGCGGACATACTTTTTTTGGGGGGTGGGGAAAGTAGCTGAAGCGAGTTCCTTACTTGTACGGCTGGGCCTTTGCTCCTTCCGCTCCAGATGCCAAGGCTTTGTTCACCACCGCTTCGTTTTCCTCCGGGTACACCGAGCAGGTGCAGTAGACCAGAGCTTGGACTTTAGGAACTGCCGGGATTCAAGTCAGGATTAGTCCAGGAAATCATCGTTCAAAAACCAAGCTTTTGGAGAAATTGGCGCAAATGATACAAACTCGGAAGATCCTTGTGCGCTGGGGACCTGGGTGCTCACCGAGCTTGGCGGTTCCCTTGCAGACGTTTTATTACCCAACTAGGCAACGTCATCAGTGCTGGAAGGAAGGATTGTGGAGAGGAAGAGGAGGAGGAGGGGAAAGGGAGGGGGAGGATTATGGGGTTCCTGGTACTCTCCGAGCTTGGCGGTTCCCTTGCAGACTTTTATTATCCAACTAGGCAATGTCATCAGTGCTGGAAGGAAGGATTGTGGAGAGGAAGAGGAGGAGGAGGAGGGGAAAGGGAGGGGGAGGATTATGGGGTTCCTGGTACTCTCCGAGCTTGGCGGTTCCCTTGCAGACCTTTTATTACCCAACTAAGTAAGTGCAACCTAGTTGGGTCATGAAACGCTGCGATGACTGTGTATTTTGCTTTCCGTATTTGGGAAATCCTTATCCCTGGCATCCTTACAACATGGCCCGCCCAGCGCATCTGGGCTTTCATCAACAGAGTGTAAACTGATGATAGACCTGCTCTGGAGAGGACATCTGTGTCTGGTATCTAATCCTGCCACCGGATCCTCAGAATTCTATGAAGGCAAGTCATGTGGAAGTAGTTCAGTTGCCTAACATACCTCCTGTACACTGTCCAGGTCCAGGGCCATGTTGTAAGGATGCCAGATCATCGCATCCCTAAACAGCTCTTCTACGGTGAGCTGTCTCAAGGAAAGCGATCACACGGGGGACAAAAGAAGCGATGCAAAGACACGTTAAAAGCTTCTCTCAAGTCCCTGGATATTAACACCATCTCTTGGGAACTTCTGCCGCATGATCGACCGACATGGCGCACCTTGGTGTACCAGGGTTGCCAGACATATGAACACAGAAGGGCAATCTTGGCACAAGAAAAGCGAGCACTCCACAAAACCAGAGCTGCAAATGCTGAAGTAACAGTGTCTACATTTCTTTGTTCAGTAGGTGGCAGAACATGCTGTGCTAACATCGGTCTTATTAGCCACCTACGGGCACATCGTTGATGGTCCATAACCCACAAGATGTCAAGGTCTTCATCGAAATCGATGGACGAACAACAACATTTGGGAAATGTTTGTTTTATTCTATTTTGGGTTGAGTTGAACTCTTTATGTTTCTTAAAGTCGCCAAGGTCGGGAAACATGGATTGACAGCTGGCAATTCAAATTTGTGTCCCTCACACCCACAGTCTGCTAAGATCCCATTCCGAAGGCTTAGAAGAGAGAAGAAACAAATCTTGCTTTGGATAAGAGACCGAGAAGGAACTGGGTCACAGAAACTGGGAAGGGTGTGCTGTTATAGATATACAATTGTACCTGTGATGGGACTGAGTTCATGGCAAATAAAACTCACACTGCAGTGCGTGGGTCAGCTCTTTCAGCTGCTGTTGAGCAAGGGTGCTTAGTTTGTCTTCGGCGACCGACCCTTGAGAGAGGTCTCTGAGTAACTCTGCATCTAAAGAGGAAATGAAATAAAATGTCTACGCTGCAAGGGGACATTAGTGGTCAGAAAACGACAATTAACACTCTGCCTTCTCGTTTGAAAATTAACAGGAGCAGCTGGCCTCCGGAAATTGTGGGCGCTCCATCACTGGAGATTTTTAAGAAGAGGCTGAACAGTTACAGTTCTATTCTATTCTATTCTATTCTATTCTATTCTATTCTATTCTATTCTATTCTATTCTATTCTATTCTATATTCCAATATCTATTCTATATTCCAATATCTATTCCAATATCTATTCTATTCTATTCTATTCTATTCTATTCTATTCTATTCTATTCTATTCTACTCTACTCTACTCTATTCTATATTCCAATATCTATTCTATATTCCAATTTCTATTCCAATATCTATTCCAATATCTATTCTATTCTATTCTATTCTATTCTATTCTATTCTATTCTATTCTATTCTACTCTATTCTATATTCCAATATCTATTCTATATTCCAATATCTATTCCAATATCTATTCTATTCTATTCTATATTCCAATATCTATTCTATATTCCAATATCTATTCCAATATCTATTCTATTCTATTCTACTTTACTCTACTCTATTCTATATTCCAGTATCTATTCTATATTCCAATATCTATTCTATATTCCAATATCTATTCTATATTCCAATATCTATTCCAATATCTATTCTATTCTATTGTATTCTATTCTATATTCCAATATCTATTCTATATTCCAATATCTATTCTATTCTATTCTATTCTATTCTATTCTACTCTACTCTACTCTATATTCCAATATCTATTCTATATTCCAATTTCTATTCCAATTTCTATTCTATTCTATTCTATTCTATTCTATTCTATTCTATTCTATTCTATTCTATTCTAATCTATTCTACTCTACTCTATTCTATATTCCAGTATCTATTCTATATTCCAATATCTATTCTATATTCCAATATCTATTCCAATATCTATTCCAATATCTATTCTATTCTATTCTATTCTATTCTATTCTATTCTATTCTATTCTATTCTATTCTATTCTATTCTATTCTATATTCCAATATCTATTCTATATTCCAATATCTATTCCAATATCTATTCTATTCTATTCTATTCTATTCTATCTACTCTACTCTATTCTATTTCCAATATCTATTCTATATTCCAATATCTATTCCAATATCTATTCTATTCTATTCTATTCTATATTCCAATATCTATTCCAATATCTATTCTATTCTGTCTCTCTTCTATTCTATATTCCAGTATCTATTCTATATTCCAGTATCTATTCTATTCTATTCTATTCTATTCTATTCTATTCTATTCTATTCTATTCTAATATTCTATTCCAATATCTATTTCCAATATCTATTCTATTCTATTCTATTCTATTCTATTCTATTCTATTCTATTCTATTCTATTCTACTCTACTCTATTTTATATTCCAATATCTATTCTATATTCCAATTTCTATTCTATTCTATTTTATATTCTATTATATATTCTATTATATATTCCAATATCTAATCTATTCTATTCCACTCCATTCCATATTTTCTATTCTATTCTATTCTATTCTAAGCTAGCAAAGCCTACCAAACAAAGTCTTATGTGGTGCTTCCCAAAGTCAGGCATGGTGCTTGAAGATGGATGACACATTCCAGAACGCACGTGTTTTGGTTCTGCTGTCCCCTAATTATTATCGAACACCTCCAGTTGAGTGTGAGACCATGCCTTGAGTTTGGTGAACTTGGCCAAAATCACTGGTTTGCTGGAGAAGAAAACAGATGAGGAGGGAGGAGGAGAGAAAAGGATGAGGAAGGAGAAAGAGAAGAGAAGATAAGGGAGAGGAGGAGGAGATGAAGAAAGGAGAAGATCGATAAGGAGGAGAGAGAGGAGCAGAAGGAGAAAATAAAGATAAAGAAGAGGAGGAGAAGGAGACAACAGATAAGGAGAAGGGGAAGGAGAGCAAAGGGGATCGAGACAGTGGCCGGAAATGCCACAGAAAGAGAACAAGGCAGTTGAAACCCCTCCGGGAAGTTACCTTCATGCTCCTCCAAAATGAATTCGATGGGATTGCTGACCCCCAGGCCGGAACAGCGAGGCAGGAGCAGGACCACTTTCACTTTCTGCAGCTTGGCGCAAGCGGGCTCCACGTTGGCAAAGTCCTCGTGGAGCAGCTCGATATCTTGGGGAGGAGGAGAAGGAGGAGGAGGAAAAAGAGAAGGAAGAGTGAGGACGCCCGTGAGACGGGACGGAAGGGGCGCTGCAGCAGAGACGACGCACCTTCGGATCTCCTCTCCCTTCCTTCGGGTCGCTGCACCACCCCGGAAGTGAATCGTCGCTTCAAACTTTTGCGGGGCGGGAGGGGGGGGGTTAAGGAGAGCTTCCTGGAAGCGCCGGTGGTCCTCGGCTTAGCACCGTCTGCTTAGCGGCCGTTCAGACTTACGACGGTGCTGGAAAAAACCACTCGTGGCCGTGTGTGTGTGTGTGTGTGTGTGTGTGTGTGTGTGTCTTTGGTTATTTAGGTTTTCTCCCGCGTAAAATTGGAAGGGTCTTGGCGACGTTTCGACGAAGTCCCGTTCGTCATCTTCAGGCTGGTGTTTTTGGCTTCGGCTTAGTGACGGAAATGTTGGGCTCAATTGGGGTCGTACATTTGAGGACCACCTGTACGGCCTTCTATGCTAAGATAAATTTCTGGCTACTCTCTAAATCTCCTTTGCCCTCCTCCTCCCTCCTCCTCACCTGTTGTCTCCTTTTCCTTCTCCTCTTCCTTCTCTTTCTTCATCTTTATCTTCTCCTTCCCCTTTCTCCTCCTAATCTATCTTCTCCCTCTTCTTCCTCATCCTTGTCTCCTCCTTCATCCTTGTTTTCTCCTCCTCCTCCCTCACCTATTGTCTCCTTTTCCTCCTCCTCTTCCCTCATCTTTATCTTCTCCTCTCATCCTAATCTATCTTCTCCCTCTATGTCCTCATCCTTGCCTCCTCCTCCTCCTCCTCCATCCTTCTATTTCCTCCTTCTCCACTTCCTTCTCCATCTTCTCCACCTCCTTCATCCTTACCTATTGTCTTCTTTTCCTTCGCCTCTTCCCTTTCTTCATCTTTATCTTCTCCTCCTCTCTTCTCCTTATCTATCTTCTCCTCTTCTCCCTCTTCTTCCTCATCGTCTCCTCCTCCTCCTTCATCCTTATCTATTTTCTCCTTCTCCTCTTCCTTCCCCATCCTTATCTATCGTCTTCACCTCCTTCATCCTTATCTATTTTCTCCTTCTCCTCTTCCTTCTCCATCCTTATCTATCTTCTCCTCCTCCCTCATCCTTACCTATTGTCTCCTTCTCCTTCTCTTCCCTCTTTCTTCATCGTCTCCTTCTCCTCTCTCCTCCTAATCTATCTTCTCCGTCTTCTTCCTCATCCTTGTCTCCTCCTGCTCCTCCTCCATCCTTAGGCGATGCCACCAAGCTTGAACTTACTTTTACACTCCATGCGTGCAAAGAGATCCTTCAATTCAGCTTCTCTGGCCGCAGACTTCACTCCGCATACGAACACCCGGGAAGTGTCCTGATTGGTCAGCACCGACACATGGGCCACAGTGAGCCAGGACCCCATTTGGGCAATTAAAATGTCATCGTCCATATTCAGCAGGGCTTTCACCGAATGTACCGCCAGACTCCGGGAGTTATCCTAAGGATAGAAACAGAAACACCAGCATGGGAATTACTCAGCTCGCCAACCGCAGGCCTTGCAATGGGACAGGCATTGGAGGTGGGGTGACCTGGCCGAGTCAAAACAATGCTTTGGCTGAGAGCAACAGCATTTAGACTTATATACCACTCCACAGTGCTGTACAGCCGTCTCTAAGAGGTTTACAGAGTCAGCCTTTTGCCCCCCCAAAACAATCTGGGTCCTCATTTTACCAATCTAGGGAGGAGGGAAGGCTGAACCAAGCTTGAGCAGGTTAGAATCGAACTACTGCCAGTCAGCAGAATTAGCCTGCAATGCTGCATCCTAACCATGGGAAGGAAGGAAAGGAAGAAAGGAAGTAGAGGGAGGGAGGGAGGGAAGGAAATGGGAGGGAGGGAGGGAGGGAGGAAGGAAGGAAGGAAGGAAGGAAGGGAGAGAGGGAGGGAGGGAAGAAAGCAACAGCACTTAGACTTATATACCGCTTCACTATGCTTTACAGCCCTCTCTAAGTGGTTTACAGAGTCAGCCTCTTGCTCCCCAACAATCTGGGTCCTCATTTTACCGGCCTTGGAAGGATGGAAAGGCTGAGTCAACCTTTGAGCCGGTCAGGATCAAACTGCTAGCGGTGGGCAGAGCTAGCCTGCAATACTGCATTGTATCCACTGAGGCACCCATTCCATCTGTTTTTGCAATGTAGATCAGGGATCCCCAACCTATGGGCCATAGCCCACTAGCAGGCCGTGGCCTACTGGCCACCGGGCCACGGGATAGGCTGGCCAGTGCGCACAACCACCCTCACTCACGCCAGCATGCAGGTTTCCGCATGCACGTGGGGCTAGCGGCAGTGGTGGCTAGTGCCTGCACAGATGCACAAACGGAGCCACTAGCGCCATGCAGGCTGTGTGGCCCCTTTGCGCAGGCACACGGGTGCTAGCTGCAGTGGCGGCTAGTGCATGCACGCATGCACAAATGGGGCCGTGAGCACTGTGCTAGCAACGGCGATGGCTAGTGTATGCGTGCATGCACAAGTGGATTCGCTACCCCCGTGTGGGTGCATGAGGCCCCTTTCACGCACGGTCCCACTCGTGCATGCGCGCGCACACACAAATTTCCTTTCCCTCCAGGTCACCAGCCTGAAAAGGCTGGTGACCTCTGATGTAGAAGACCTGTCATCAGGTTTTGCACTACCCGTACCCATTGGCAAGTGAAGGAGCTGCACAAAATACAAGCCAAGCTAGTTGCTCTACATTGGGGGTGTTCAATCGTGGCAACTTGGAGACTTGTGGACTTCAGCTCCCCAAAATCTTCCCCCCCAAAGCCAGCAAGGTCTCAAAGCCGTCAAGGGTGGACATCCCTGCTCTACCGATTTTGGCCGACCGTCACCCCGGAAGGATTCAAACACTCCTTCAAGTAAAGTGCAAACTCTTTCACTTACTTGCAACAGCAGTTTGTGATCAGTATACAGTTCCGAGATCAGGAGTTTTTCTTTAAGAGAAGACGGGAAAATGAGCCCATCCTCACAGTGCTTATCCGGGCAATAGGTGTAACCATCAAAATCCGAAATGGACGCTACTTTCATGAAGCCTTCCTTCTGCAAGAAGCTATGGACTTCTTCAAGACTGCAGGATAAACCACAGCTTATTAACACGGCACACTACGGAAGCGAAACAGATTTTTTTAAAAAAATCGCCTTTAGGTTTGAACGTATAGAGCAGTGGTTCTCAACCTTTTTAATGCCGCGACCCGCAACCGTTCGTAAGTCGAGGACTACTCAACCGGTCGTAAGTCGAGGACTACTCAACTGGTGCAGCACCGTTGGCAGAATGGGACTTTTGGCGGGCTCAGCAGGGCAGAGACAGCCTGGACAATTCCTATTGGCTTTTGAAAGCCAATAGAATTAGACTCTATTCAAGAGAGTCTATTCTATTGGCTTTCGAAAGCCAATAGAAGAAAAGGGAGGAGCACAGCTAAGGAAAAGGGGAAAAAAATGGCGGACTGTGTTGTTTGGCGACCCCCGTGAAATGGTCGTTCGATCCCAAATGGGGTCCCGACCCACAGGTGGAGAACCACTGGTATAGAGGACATCTTGATTTCAGAAAAGAGCCAGCATCGTTATGCTCCACTCAGTATCAAGGATGCAGCTGTAGAGATGGCCAACAGTATTAAGTATCCGGGGGTGCAGATAACAAACACGCTGAATTGGTCTGTCCACACGTCATCCTTAGTGAAGCGTGCAAAACAGTGTCTGCATTTCCTGCATCGGACGAGGAGGGCGCCTCTCTCTCCTTCTGTCTTGGCCACTTTTTACAGAGGCAGGATGGAGTGTCTTAAGCAACTGCATCACTGTCTGGTTTGGTGGCAGCAGCGCCCCAGATAGAAAGTCCATACAGAGAGTGGTGAGGATAGCGAGAAGCTCATAAGAAGCTCGCTCACTGGTATTCAGGATGCTTATAAGCACTCCGATGTGCTTAGAGAGCAAAGCATTATTAGAAACCCCGCACGCCCACTTTACACTCTGTTTCTGTTGCTCCCCTCGGGGTGGAGGTTTCCAATCACCAAGCTCAGAGAGCACAATAAACTCTGTTTATGAATAAATAAATTTGTACGACATTTATTACTGTCCTTGTGCTTTTCTTATTTAGTTCTTAGTTTTATATCCCACCTTTTCACCAGCAATAAAAGGTGGCTTACCCCTTTTGCCAGTTTATCTCAACCACCGCCTGGTGAGCTAGGCTGGTCTGGTTTTTCTGGATCCAAGCTACTCAGCCAGCTTCAAGGAAATGGCCGTTAAATTCAACGGATTAGACTAAAGCAGGACACTTCTAACTTGGCTACTGTCAATGCTGCTAACATCGGATGTTTTTGCTTTAAAAACAGATGGAGATATAGCCATTTTCTTCTTTGGGCTTATAGAGTTAGATGATGCTGGGGAGCAGGGGAATGTACCGTATATTCCGGCGTATAAGGCGACTGGGCGTATAAGACGACCCCCAACTTTTGATTTTCAGGGTTTAGAAAGTCGTCTTATACGCTGGAAATACGGTATGTATTCAGAATCTTTTCTGTTTCTTTAACCATATTCAAACAAATGTTTCTTTTTTAAATATTCTCTCTGGTAGATCCCATCATCTATTTTCTTAATTTTCACTTTGATCTTTTTCCTTTGACCAGTATCTTTCTTAATCAATGTGATTTGCTGAATCAAAAAGTTTTTCCATATATTCATGACTGCTGCTATAGGTATAAGAACTAAATCAAATGTTTCTTTTTTTTGTAGATGTAATGTCCTCAATTTATATAGCTTACTGTTTTCTACTATTTAATTGCTTTTCCTGAAAAAGAATAAAGTGATGGGCGATGTAGAAAAATGTATGCTTTGTCCTGTTAGTGCTTATTTCTGTAAAAAAAAATAGGGCTGGCCACTAGGGGGCAGATTGGTTTTAAATTCAGAGAACAGCTACCCATATATTCCGGCGTATAAGACAACCCCCGAGTTTTGAGAAGATTTTCAGGGTTTAGAAAGTCGTCTTATACGCCGGAAAATAAGGTACATGAGAATTCAGCTAGACATAATAATACTGAACCTAGCACGAGAACCAAGGTTGTTGAAATAACAGATGATAAAGAATTGGCGGACTGAAAAGCTGGAGGGGAAGCCCACACTTCAAGCTAATTGGGGAATGTGATTTATGACTGTTAATTGGAAGAGGGAATTGTGCTTTGATACTAGGTGCTCAAGGAGGGGTTCAGTTTTTGGTTTTGATTACGTAAGTGCCGACACTATGCTACTCGAATAAAGATTCTTTAAGATAAACAATGCCTCGAAGTTCTTTTGAAGAGTTCCATCTGTCAGAACCATGACAGCAACTTTGAAGACTTGTGGACTTCTGCTTCCAGAATTCCCCAGCCAGCTAGGGAATCCACAAGTCTTAAAGTTGCAAAGTGTGGAGAGCCCCTGTGCTAAACTTCGGAGCGTTCTCCGGAAGGATGCAGTTAATTTGATCAGCAGCGCATTTAAATCTAAGAGTCACGGTCACCAAACGTTGAAAAAAATTCGCACAGGAAAATGGTGGGCAAAAGAAAAAAAGGAAAGAAAAAACCAAAAAGTCAGTAGACCTCACCTGATTTTCAAGGTGTTCACCCAGGCGTACAGTGGCAGGTTTGAAGCCCTCTGCTCTTGTCTCCGAATTGTTTCCGGCAGGATGTGCTCAATGGTTAGAGCATCATGCTTGATTCGGCATCGGGCTAGCGCAGCGGCGAGTTTGGTCTTAAAACTAGAGATTCCGAAAGGAAGAACATTGGAGGCTCAGAATTCATCCTTAGGGGAATGGGAATGGCAGCCTGCTCAAAAATCAGCATTGAAATTAGGGCGAAGAATCCGGTCGCCAAGAGATAATGGACATTTTTCTTGAGACACAGGCTGCAGTTGATCATGTCAATCTGAGCCGTGATTTTTTTGTTTTTTTTTAAATTATGGACAGTCGGCCAAAGCACAATTGGGAAGATAATATTTGTAGCTCAGGGTTGAACTGTGGGGTCCTGGGTGCTCTCTGAGCTTGGCTGTTTGCTTGCGGAAATTTCATGACCCAACTAGGGAACATCATCAGTGCTAGGAGGAGGGAGGAGGGGGAGGAGGAGGAAGAGGAGGAGTGGGGGAGGAGGAGGAGGAGGAAGAACTAGAGAAGGAGAAAGAAGGAGAAGAAGGAGGAAGAGGAGGAAAGAGGAGGAGGAGAAGTAAGAGCGAGGAGGAGGAGATGGAGAAAAAAGGAGAAAGGAGAAGAAGAAGAAGAAGACGAGGAGGAGGAGGAGGAGGAGGAAGAAGGAGGAGGAGGAGGAAGAAGAAGTAGAGAAAGAGTTGGAGAAAGGAGGAGGAAGAGGAGGAGAAGAAAGGGCAAGGAGGGGGAGGTGGAGAAAAAAGGAGAAAGGGGAGAAGAAGAAGAAGAAGAAGAAGAAGAAGAAGAAGAAGAAGAAGAAGAAGAAGAAGAAGAAGAAGAAGAAGAAGAAGAAGAAGAAGAAGAAGAAGAAGAAGAACAACAACAACAACAATAACAACAACAACAACCTCAAACTCCACTCCCTTCTACCACTGAAGAATTACCTAGCTGAGCAACGGACACAGAGCAAGGCTTTATCTTATAAAACTGCTCCATCAGTTGTGTCACCTGCACGACGCATCCCAAAAAAAGGGTCAGGCCTTGGATTAAAGAATAATAGGATTCCAGGCGTCTCTCTCTCTCTCTCTCTCTCTCTCTCTCTCTCTCTCTCTCTCTCTCTCTCTCTCTCTCTCTCTCTCTCTCTTTTTGTGCCCAGTGGGAAACAAAATTAAGTTTTCACTATCGGCCCTCCGCAGAGAAGCCGCGTGCTTTCGGGAGGTCTACCTGCATAGATAACGTTCCACTTCTTGAACTTCTGCTATGCTTTCTTCGTCCTCGGGAACCGAGCGAGCTTCAAACTTCCGGTCCTGAAGGTCGTAGAGCACCACCACCACTAAGCTGGTCAGGTCATCTGACTGCAAGAGGACCACAGTCGCACATCAAGACCCAAAAAAACCCCCCATCACTATCGATAGTCCTGGACTGAACCACCGTTCATTTAGTGACCATCTGAAAGTTACAACGGTACTGAGGAGAAGTGACCTGGGACCGTTTTTCGCACTCAGGACCACTTCAGCATCCCTGCGGTCACGTGATCAAAATCCAGAGGCTTGGCAACTGATTCGTATTTTCTCTAGACTAGCCATTACCCAGTTCCTACAACCCGTCAACGCTGCTAACATCGGATGTTTTTGCGTTGACAACAGACAGAAATGTAGCCATCTTTTACCTTTTGCGAGTTAGTGATGGCGAACCTTTTAGAGACCGAGGGCCCAAACTGCAACCCAACACCCACTTATGCATCGTCGGGTGCCGGGTGGGTGTGGCCCATTGGCTGGGTGTGGCCCATTGAGTGGGCGTGGCTGCGGTGGTAACGGCAGACTGGATGGGACTAAAAAGTTCAATCAATCAATTCCAACTTTGCAAGATCTTTTTTTTACCCATGAGAAGTTGAAATTGAACTTTTTTTTTTTTGCACATGGTGGCGGAGGCCTAAAGCGAAAAGGTTTTATAAAACCCAGCTGAAGGCCTACGACTAGGGTGACAGTGCGTGTGCCCACAGAGAGAGCTCTGAGTGCCGCCTCTGGTACCCGTGCCATAGGTTCACCACCACTGAGTTAGATGATGCTGGAAGGGGGGATGTGAACGAGAGTCCGGCTAGACATAACAACACTAAACCTAGCGTGAGAATCAAGGTTATTGAGCCCAGAGCTGATAAGGAATTGGCAGGCTGGAGAACTGGAGGGGAAGCCCACATTTCAAGCTAATTGGGGAATGTGATTTATGACTGTTAATTGGAGGAGGGAATTGTACTTTGATACTATGTGCCCAGGGGAGGGGAATTCAGTTTTTGGCTTTGATTATGCAGTGCCGACACTATGCTACTCAAAATAAAGATTCTTTAAGGTAAACAATGCCTCGAAGTTCTTTTGAAGAGTTTCATCTGTCGGAACCATGACACAACCCACCTTTGCGTGTTTTAGCCTCCAGGCCTTTAATCATCTTAGTTTGCCCTTCTTTGCACTTTTTCCCCAAAGTCTCAGCATCTTTTCTGTAACGTGGTGAGCAAAACTGGATGCAGCATATTCCAGGTGTGGCCTTACTAAGGCTTTATAAAGCGGTACTAATACTTCGTGTGATTTTGATTCTATGCTTCTGTTCATACAAATCAAGGATTGTATTAGCTCTTTTTGCCTAAGCATCTATATATATTTTTCTTGTAAATTTTTATAGATTTTCTAATATTACATTTAAATATTTGAAAGCAACGTTGTGGCTGGGTGCAATAATTCTATTACACATAGATATCATTAGTACGGATTTCAAATTGTTACAATCCCCATTCCCTCTCTTTCTCTCTTAATATCTACTGTCTCCTATTTTAACTAATACAATTCTTGTTCTGTCAATCAAAGTAACTTTCTGACATTTATCAATAATTTTTAGTTAATATATATCTTAGTGGTTTTAACTTTCAGTCTTTAGACAATCAACGGCCTGATCAATTTTTCTCAATTTTATTTTTCCATTAATATTTAAATTTAACGTTCAATAATTATCATTTCCACGCTTTAGATGACCCCAATTCCTTTATCACCATTCCTCCCAAGGTCTTATTTATATAAGTTCTCACCATCTACATCAACAAGTTAATAATGCAATAATAGTATTCTTATTTTCTAATAATTTTCTAATAAGCATATATTTTTAAAATCGTGTATTTTTTTAAGCCCCTTCCCAGTACATCTTCACTAAGATTTGCTCGACCAATGCTGCGATGGAAACAAGTCTAATATTTGGAAAATGAATGTATGGATGTGAAAGTTGGACCATAAGAAAGGCTGAGCGCCAAAGAATGGAGGCCTTTGAACTCTGGTGCTGGAGAAGACTCCTGTGAGTCCCTTGGACTGCAAGGTGATCAAACCGGTCAGTCCTAGAGGAGATCAACCCTGACTGCTCTAGAAGGTCAGATCCTGAAGTTGAAACTCAAGTATTTTGGCCACCTAATGAGACGGAAGGACTCACTGGAGAAGGGCCTAATGCTGGGAAAGATGGAGGGCAAGAGAAGAAGGGGATGACAGAGAAGGAGGTAGCTGGAGGGAGTCACTGAAGCAGGAGGCGTGAACTTAAATGGATTCCAGAAGATGGGAGAGGACAGGAAGGCCTGGAGGAACGTTGTCGATGGGGTCGTGATGGGTCGGACACGACTTCGCAATTAACAACAACAATCTACTCACTATTGACTGCAGTGGGTAAACGCCGCTGTCTATCAACATATATTCCAGCACATCTTGATCTGCAGGAGAGGAAAAATAAAAAAGATAAGGAGAAGGCATTGCAAACAATCACAAAGTGATCTTGAAGGGATCGGATGCATTTCAAAAATGTCTTATGGCCTGAAAACAGATACAGCTAGTCCTCTACTTACGACGACGGTTCATCCCAAAATTTCTGCTGCAAAGCAAGGCGGTTGAATTTTACGACCTCTCCTGCCACAGTTGTTAAATGAATCACTGCCATTGTTAAATTAGTGGCAAGGCGGTGCCACTTGACTTTATCAGAAAGGGGATCACATGACCCGGGGACACTGCAATCGTCGTAAGTACTAGTCAGTTGCCAAGTGTCTGAATTTTGATCACGTGACCAGTGGATGCTGCAACGGTCGTATAAGTGTGAAAAATGGTCATAAAAGTCACCTTTTTTTCAGTGCCGTCGTAACTTGGAACGGTCACTAAACTCAACTGTTGTAAGTTGAGGACTTGGCTGTATTCGGATTCTTAACCCTATTGGATCGTTCAGAAATTTTGCTTTTTATTTCTACGCTCGGCTAATCCTGACACGAAGTTGCCGTTAACGAGCAGAAGCAACGCTTGCGAAAGGTCTGACTGGACAGGAGGGGAATAATACAGGATTTTATTTTGGATATATGTATGTATGTATGTATGTATGTATGTATGTATGTATGTATATTTGCTACCAATTAAGGCCTGCGAGCTCTTCTACATTTGCTTGTAATTATTCATCCTATTTAGAGTACAAGGGAATTTTTTTCCCCCACCATCACCTAGCACGCCCAGCTTACAGCCCTAAAATCTCCTGGTGGTCTCCCATCCAATCCTAACCAACTCTAAGCCTACATAGTTTTTCCAAGGTCAGCCAAGCTTAGCAAGGTGCCACCAGATGCTATCACATATGACACCTTATTAGGACGTTATTATTTCCTGCCTCTTAAAGATGTGAGTCAACTGTACAGGGCCAAATCAGAACGAACAGAACAACAGAGTTGGAAGGGACCTTGGAGGTCATCTAGTCCAACCCCCTGCTCAAGCAGGAGAGCCTACACCTTTCCAGACAAATGGCTATCCAGTCTTTTCTTGAAAACCTCCAATGATAGAGCACCCATAACTCCTGGAGGGAAGCTGTTCCACTGATTAATTGTCCTCACTGTTAGGAAATTTCTCCTTAATTCCAGGTTGCTTCTCTCCTTGATGAGTTTCCATGATCCATTGCTTCTTGTCCTGCTTTCAGGCGCTTTGGAGAAGAGGTTGACCCCCCTCTTCTTTGTGGCAGCCCCTCAAAATGAGGATCTAACTCATCTTAGAGGCTGTATCTGTTCCACAAACCTTTCAAAGATGTATTCCACATAGAATCATAGAGTTAGAAAAATCTTAGAGGTCATCTAGTCCAACCCTCTGCTCAGGCAGGAGATCCTATGCTACTTCAGACAAATGGCTATCCAATCTCTTCTTTAAAACTTCCAGTATTAGAGCATTCACCGCTGCTGGTTAATTTTCTCACTGTCAGGAAGTTTCTCCTTGGTTCTTGGTTGCTTCTCTCCTTGATTGGTTTCCATCCATTGCTTCTTGTCCTGCCTTCAGGTTTCATTGGAGAATAGCTTGACTCCCTCTTCTTTGGGGCAGCCCCTGAGATATTGGAAGACTGCTATCCTGTCCCCCCTCATCCTTCTCTTCATTAAACTAGACATACCCCATTCCAGCAACCGTTCTTTGTATGTTTTAGCCTCCAGTCCCCTAATCATCTTTGTTGCTCTTCTCTGCACTCTTTCTAGAGTCTCAACATCTTTTTTATAGCATGGCGACCAAAACTGGATGCCGTATTCCAAGTGTGAAGGCAGGAATCACATTTCCTTAAACTCCACTTCTGACGTCAGGACAGGTTATATGTTAAAATCCTGTCCTTTTGCTGCCCACTTAATTGTTAGGTTACATTCAATCTCGCCCATGGAGGTGACGGATTACTGCAAGAAAACAACAGATTCTCCCCTCGCATACGTGGCCCAATGTTCGGCCGTTTCCATGGACTCAGACTGGGTTCCTGTGTTTGGGCACACCGATTCAGACATAGCGGTCTCTGTTTTCCAGGTTGCCAAGGGTAACTCTCTCGCCAGCCCACCTTTGCTAATGATTGACCTTTCCAGGATAAAGAGAAATTGCCTCTGGGGGTGGATGGGAAAATGTTCGCAGAGTCTTCCATAAAGCTTAAAGATTGAAGTGCTGGGAGATTCAATGATGTTATGTTGGCACGGATTGATGCCAGTTCTTCTCCTTTTGGGGGATTGTAATAGTAGTAAAGTTGGAAGGGACCCTGGAGGTCATCTAGTCCTACCCCCTGCTCAGGCAGGAAACCATGGCTGTCCAGTCTCTTCTTAAAAACTTCCAGTATTGGAGCATTTACTGCTTCTGGAGGCAGGCTGTTCCACTGATTAATTGTTCTCACTGTCAGGAAGTTTCTCCTTAGTTCCAGGTTGCTTCTCTCCTTGTTTAGTTTCCACCCGTTGCTTCTTGTCCTGCCTTCAGGCGCTTTGGAGAATAGCTTGATTCCCTGTTCTTTATGGCAGCCCCTGAGATATTGGAATACTGCTATCATGTCCCCCCTTGTCCTTCTCTTCGTTAAACTAGACATGCCCAATTCCTGCAACCGTTCCTTGTATGTTTTGGCCTCCAGTCCCCTAATCATCTTTGTTGCTCTTCTCTGTACTCTTTCTAGAGTCTCAACATCTTTTTTACATCGTGGTGACCAAAACTGGATGCAGTATTCCAAGTGTGGCCTTACCAAGGCATTGAAGAGTGGTATTAATACTTCACGTGATCATGATTCTATCCCTCTGTTAATGCAGCCTAGCACTGTGTTGGCCTTTTTGGCAGCTGCCGCACACTGCTGGCTCATATTTAATAACGTTGTATGTTTTAATGGATACTTTTTGCAGTTTTTAAAATGATTTTATTCGAGCCGTACTGTCGGAAAGATGGGTGACTATGTAAATGTTTAAAATAAACTAGATCAGGGATCCCCAACCTATGGGCCACGGCCCATTACTGGGCTGTGGCCTACTGGCCATTGGGCCGTGGGACAGGCTGGCCAGTGCGAGCACTCACCCCCACAAGCGCTAGTGCCCACGGACCCGTTTGTGCAGGCGTGTGGGGCTAGCGGTGGCGGCTAGCACCTGCAGGCATGCACAAACGCAGCCGCTAGCGCCGTGCACATGGGTGCTAACAGCGGTGGCGACTCGTGCATGCACACATGCGCAAATGGAGCCACTAGCACAGTGCGGGTTGCACAGCCCATATGCGCATGCATGTGGGTGCTAGCAGCGGCAGCTAGCGCATGCACAAATGGGGCCGTTCGCCCCGTGTGGGTGCACACAGCCCCATTCGAACACGGCCCCATTCGTGCATGTGCATGCGCAGACAAATTTCCCAGCTGCTCCCTTTCCCTCCGGGCCACCAGCATGAAAAGGTTGGTGACCCTCTGAACTAGATAGTCTGGACTTACAACAGTTCATTTAGTGAGCGTTTGAAGCTACAACGGCACTGAAAAAAGTGACATGACTATTCTATTCCATTCAATTCTTATTCCCATTCTATTCTTACTCCCATTCTATTCCTATTCCATTCCATTCCACTCCACTCCATTCCAATTCTCTATTCTATTCCATTCCATTCCATTCTATTTTCTATTCCATTCTATTTTCTATTCCATTCTATTTTCTATTCCATTTCATTTCATTCCACTCCACTACATTCCATTCCAATTCTCTATTCTATACTATTTCATTCAATTCTTATTCCCATTCTATTCTATTCTTATTCCCATTCTATTCTTATTCTCATTCTATTCCCATTCTATTCCTATTCCTATTCCTATTCCATTCCATTCCATTCTATTCTATTCTATTCTATTCCACTCCACTCCATTCCAATTCTTTATTCTATTCTATTCTATTCTATTCTATTCTATTCTATTCTATTCTATTCTATTCTATTCTATTCTATTCTTTCTATTCTATTCTTATTCCCATTCTATTCTTATTCCCATTCTATTCTTATTCCTATTCTATTCTATTCTATTCTATTCTATTCCATTCCATTCCATTCCATTCTCCACTCCATTCCATTCCAATTCTCTATTCTATTCTATTTCATTCAATTCTTATTCTCATTCTATTAAATTCTTATTCCCATTCTATTCCTATTCCTATTCCATTCCATTCCATTCTATTCAATCTTCTATTCTATTCTATTCCACTCCACTCCAATTCTCTATTCTTTTCTTTTCTCTTTTCTTTTCTTTTCTATTCTACTCTTCCATTCCATTCAATTCCATTCTTATTTATGATTACTGTATTTTTTTTAACCCTGATTCACATCATTCTGCATTCTTCGTAACAGTATAATTTAATTGCAGACATTGCATATTGCCTAAAACACATTTATTACAACACAACCTCAATACAATATATGAAAGATTCACGGGGGCTGCCAGCGCCACGCACAGAGCTTTGAAGGCAGAGGTATACATTGGAGGTGGCTGCGGGGCCCGTAGAGACGCGTCCCCCTACTTACATTTCAGAGCGTTGAACGCCAGCTCGTAGGACAAACGCTGGAATTCCTCGTCTTTGAAATCCGGAAGGGATGGCAACGGCCCGGTGCCGTATTTCACCAGGATTTTATCGTGAGGTTTTTCGTTACGAACGCTTTGAAAAATGTGGGCGGCGCTGAGGTACAGGGAGTCCCGGTGCCCGCTCTTCACGACGGCGTCCGTCGAGTTCAGGTCGGAAGGCAGTATTTCGCTGGAAAATACGGTTTCGTGCATGCCAGAAAGCTCGTGCGCTATAGCGTGGTCGGGGGACCCCAAGCTGCTCCTTAGGATTGGCATCGTTCTCGCACTGATGGGTCTCGACGTTGCAGGCGGTAAAAATCAGAATCTTGAAAAGGCCCTGCGGAATTACAGAGGAGGCCAAAATAGGCATCACGGGAAACATCTGGCAGAAATTCATTCTGGGCCTTTTTTTACACGGGACCCCACCGGGTTTTGTCCCGGCAGTTAACACAGGGATGTGGCGGGATTCCATACCGTACAAGGCATGTACAAAAAGAGGAAAAGGTCAAAGAAGATGAGGCAGGCCAAGAAGAGGATGGAGAAACAACATCGCACTACAACAACTTCAGTGAACAATGGTTGAGGGGACACCAGAAGAGCTAAAGCCAGAACTTTGTATCTCCCTCGACACCCTAAGAGGTAAAAGAGGAGGAAGAGGAAGAGGACTGTGGGGTTCTTGGTCCTCTCTGAACTTGGTGGGTTTCTTGAAGATGTTTCATGACCCAACTAGGCAACATCATCAGTGCTAAAAAGGAGTGGGATGTGCAGATAGGAGGAGGAGGAGGAGGAGGAGGAGGAGGAGGAAGATTGTGGGGTCCTTGGTGCTCTCTGAACTTGGTGGTTTCCTTGCAGACGTTTCATGACCCAACTAGGCAACATCATCAGTGCTAGAAGGGAGTGGGGTGTGCAGATAGGAGGAGGAGGAGGAGGAGGAGGAGGACGACGACTGTGGGTCCCTAGTGCTCTCTGAACTTGTTTTCTTGCAGACGTTTCATGACCCAACTAGGGAGCCTCATCAGTGCTAGAAGGGAGTGGGGTGTGCAGAGAAGAGAAGGACGACAAGGTTGTTAACACAGGGAGACTAGACAGCAGAAGTTAATATATCTATTAATTAATGCCGTACTAGCTACAGTTTCCAGAATCCCACCCAATTGTCTCTCCTATAGGCCTTATGCATTTTGTCCCGGCTTTCCTCCGGTCAGCTGGAAGAGCAAACAAGAGTGCCTGGCACCCTCAACGGAAGAAAGAACGAGGAACTGACAGCAACACATGTGTGCCAAGAACGCTATAAAAGGCAGAGAGCCAGTACTGAATTCACCTAGAGCCGTGGTGGTGAACCTATGGCACGGGTGCCAGAGGCGGCACACAGAGCCCTCTCTGTGGGAACGCGCGCCGTCGCCCCAGTCCTAGGCCTTCAGCTGGGTTTTATAAAACCTTTTCGCTTTAGGCCTCCGCCGCCGTGTGCAAAAAAAAAAAAAAAGTTCAATTCATCAATCAGTTTCAACTTCTTGCGGGGGAAAAAAAAAGATCTCGCAAAGTTGGAATTGATTGATTGAATTTTTTAGTCCCACCCAGTCGGCCGTTACCACCGTGGCCACGCCCACCCAATGGGCCATGCTCACCCGGCACCCGACGATACATAAGTGGGTTTTGGGATGCAGTTTGGGCACTCGGACTCTAAAAGGTTCGCCATCACTGACCTAGAGCCATGCTAATATACAGGTCCCCAAAGAAATCGTTCCAACGGAAGAAAGAAAATCAAGCTTTTTTTTAAAAAAAAAAAGAAAATAAAAAAAATCTACATGGGTATCCTTTTTCAAATCAGTGCTTTAAGGGTGGAGGTCTGTTCTCCGGGCTTGTGGGTTGGTTTCTGAATATTTTGTTACCAGGCTAGATAATATCTTCAGTGGAGTTTAGGGGGTTTGGGTATTCTTCTGTTGATAAGGGCAAGATGGGATTATAAGAACAAATCTTCACCCTCGTCCTACACCCGAGCTACAGATAGTAGTAGTAGTAGTAGTAGTAGTAGTAGTAGTAGTAGTAGTAGTAATAATAATAATAATAATAATAATATAGAGTTGGAAGGGACCTTGGAGGTCATCTACTCCAACCCCCTGCTCAGGCAGGAAACCCTATACCATTTCAGACAAATGACTGTCTAGTCTCTTCTTTAAAACTTCCAGTGTTGGAGCATTCATCGCTTCTGGAGGCAAGGAGTTCCACTGGTTAATTGTTCTTAACTGTCAGGAAGTTTCTCCTTAGTTCCAGGTTGCTTCTCTCCTTGATTAGTTTCCATCCATTGCTTCTTGTCCTGCCTTCGGGCACTTTGGAGAATAGCTTGACTCCCTCTTCTTTGGGGCAGCTCCTGAGATACTGGAACACTGCTATCATGTCCCCCCTTGTCCTTCTCTTCGTTAAACTAGACATTCCCAATTCCAGCAGCCTTTCCTTATATGTTTTAGCCTCCAGTCCCCTAATCATCTTTATTGCTCTTCTCTGCACTCTTTCTAGAGACTCAACATCTTTGCCACCAATCAACTTTCACTCAAGCTTCTGTTGTTGGTGACTAGCAGAACACTATACGCCAATCACTTCCTTGTGCAAAAGGCCAGCCGTGCCTTTGACTCGATCAAACATGATCAAAACTCGATCGAGAGAGTCAACCTCTCCCCGGGAAGACAATAAACGCTGCCAAGCACTGCAAATTTGCAACGTGGCGGTGAAAAATGGATTTGAAGGGGCGGCGCCAAAGCTTCCATAAGATCCCTTCCCTACAAACTGGATTTTAAAAGTCCCTTGTTCTCACGTCTTTTCATGCCACAGGAAGCGCGTTGTGTGCCTAGGATTAAACACACAAATCTGTTTTTATACACCGTTATACAACACCGGTGTTCGGGTGTCAGATGCCCCGAGGGCCAAGGTTTTGTCTTACTGAATTGTTGCCTGATCGCATAGCACTGCAAATTCCGTTTTCATAGCCTTCTTCTTGTGCCATATCCGTTATCGGACGTTGGCGATCATGTTTGGCGATCCTATTTTTATCAGCAGCCGCACGAAAAAAGTGCTGCTGAGTTTTGTCCCAACCATAGCCACAAGAAGAGATTAAAAAAAAAAAGGGACAAACGTTTGCTGAATATTTTTAACGTTCTCACAAAAACACCAAATGAAAAGGAGATTCTCTGTGTCTCTCATCTATTTTTTTTTTCTCTCCTAATATCAAGATCTCAACTTGTGGACTTCAATTCCCAGAATCCCCCAGCCCAGCCACCACAGCTGGCTGGGGAATCCTGGGAGTTGAAGTCCACAGGTCTTAAAAATTGCCAAGGCTGGACAACCCTTGCTCTACTACAGGATTTATCTCACCAAATGCAGGAAAAGCAATTTGCCAACTCAAAGCATCCTCCCCTTCGCTTTTAGACGTTAAGTTTGGAGAGGCTTAAAAGCTTCTTTCAAGAATAATAATAATGCAACTCTTCCCCCCCAAAAAATGCAACTAAGAAACAGCAAAGGTTTGACACGGAGGAACTGTTCCCTCTCTCTTATTCCTTTCTCCCACCTATTTTGGGAATGCCTGGGGGGGGGGGGAGGCAGACAAATTTCACTGATCAAGAACTTTATTTTGTTCTTGATGGCTGCTTTGGAATATCACCCAAGCATCTCAGGAAAATGTTATCCCTTATTATTACCTATCATGTTTTGTGTTTCATTTCTGTGTTCCTTTTTAACTGAAATATGTTGTGGACATGCCATACAATCAATCTATAAGTAATTAAAAAATGTGGACCTTTAGCTCTCCACACCAGGTTTACCCCCTCTAAGGTCACGTGTTTTGGGAATGAAAGCTGCACCCGTTGGATATCTAATAATCAGCATCAGCTTGCTGCAAGGAGGATGCTGAAAAACGCAATATCACCCACCAAAAGGCAACAGATTTGAACTTGGCAGCCTCAGGTTTAGGGATTTGCCCCCCTTCCAGCTACTGGCCCTTCTCTGGATGGAGGCTGGACTAGAAGACCTCCAAGGTCCCTTCGTGACAGCAAAAAAAAACAAACAAAAAAAACGCCAGGGATATTTTTAGAAGCCTGGCACTCTGACAAATTAGCCCTCAATAAACACAAAGCTATTAACAACCTCTACAGACTGCAGAAGAGACAATCAAGCAGCCCGAAAGTGAATAAAAAGACCCCAGCACCTCCCCACCAGCAATCAGCACCCAGATCAGCACAGATCCCCCCCCCCAAGGTTAACATCAGACCGACAATCAAGTAAAGGACACCCCCAAATCAAGGAACTGCCAAAGAAGCCGGCAGCAAACAACCCAACCAAAGGAACTCTAAGACCACCCCCACCCCGACCCCGACCCTGGCAGGGCAAGATGCCAGAATATAAACTGACAGCAAACCCCACTCCTTACTAGCACTGATGACGTTACCTAGTTGGGTCATGAAACGTCTGCAAGAAAACAAGCAAGTTCAGAGAGCACTAAGGATCCCACAGTTCTCCTCCCCCTCCTCTCCGCAAATCCTACTCCCTTCTAACACTGATGAGGCTCCCTAGTTGGGTCATGAAACATCTGCAAGGAAACCACCGAGCTCAGAGAGCACCAAGGACCCCACAGTCTTCCTTCTCTTCCTCCTCCTCCTCCTCCTCCTCCTCTCCTCTCTGCAAACCCCCCTCCCTTCTAGCATTGATGATGTTACCTAGTTGGGTCATGAAACATCTGCAAGAAAGCCACCAATCTTAGGGAGCACCCAGGAACCCACAGTCCCCTTCCTTATCCTCCTCCTCCTCCTCCTCCTCCTCCTCCTCCTCCTCCTCCTCCTCCTCCTCCTCCTCCTCTTCTTCTTCTTCTTCTTCTTCTTCTTCTTCTTCTTCTTCTTCTTCTTCTTCTTCTTCTTCTTCTTCTTCTTCTTCTTCTTCTTCCTCCTCCTCCTCCTCCTCCTCCTCTCCAGAAACCCCCCTCCCTTCTAGCACTGATGATGCTCCCTAGCTGGGTCATAAAACGTCTGCAAGGAAACCACCAAGCTCAGAGAGCACCCAGGACCCCACAGTCCCCTTCCTTATCTTCATCCTCCTCCTCCTCCTCCTCCTCCTCCTCCTCCTCCTCTTCTTCTTCTTCTTCTTCTTCTTCTTCTTCCTCCTCCTCCTCCTCTCCAGAAACCCCCCTCCCTTCTAGCACTGATGATGTTACCTAGTTGGGTCATGAAACGTCTGCAAGAAAGCCACCAATCTCAGGGAGCACCCAGGACCCCACAGTCCCCTTCCTCCTCCTCCTCATCCTCTTCTTCTTCCTCCTCCTCTCCAGAAACCCCCCTCCCTTCTAGCACTGATGATGCTCCCTAGCTGGGTCAGGAAACGTCTGCAAGGAAACCACCAACCTCAGAGAGCACCCAGGACCCCTACCTCTCCCCCCCCCGTCCCCAGTTCCCGCTCTGGGCTGCTTTTAAGGACGGGGCTTGAGAAAGCCGGAGGTCTGCAGCTTTCCGCGGCTGCCGGCTCCACCTGTTGGACTGCCAGCCCGGGCCGAGCTGGGCTGGCAAAGCGGCCAGGAGCAGCCCGGAGCCTCTGCACCTGCCCAGCCCTGGGGGGGGGGGGCTGCTGCTGTTGGAGGGGCTCCCTCCCTCCCCCCCCCTCCGGCCCAGCAGCCCGGAGGGGGGGTCTCTGTCTCACCTGGCGCCTCCTGCCCACCGAGCCGGGCCCTCTGGCGGGGGGAGCCTCTCCCAAAGGACGGCGGGGACCCCCAGGGACCCTCCGGCGCCGATCGCTGTCAGGCGCCTCTGGCCCCCCCTAATCTGCAGCGCGCCGGTCCAGTCCCCTCCGCGAGGGGAGGGGCGGGGGCGTCGCCTGGCCCGGCCCACACGCCACACCCACCGCCCGAGGGGAGGGGGTCGAGGAGGAGGAGGGAGGAGGGAGGAGGAGGCGGGACCCCCAGCCCCACCGGCCGTTTCGTTCAAATCAGGGCTCGACCATTCCCAAGGAGAGAAGGGGGGGAGGGGTCTCCAGAGGAGGGGGGGTGGGTGGGAGCGGACCTCCCCCTCTAGGCTCGCTTTCAGACTCCCCCTTTGGAGGGGGGAGGTTTTGGGAGTCTCGGGAAGGCCCCTTCTCGCCTCCTCCCGCCCGGCTTTTGCTACCTGGCCGGACCTCCCTCCCTCCTCCCCCCCCCCGCCACACCTGGCGCTTTGGTACATTCCGCTGGCTGCCCGAGCTTGGCAGAGCGGCTGCCTCTGTTTGCAGGTGGCTCCGTTGCTGGGCGGGGGTTTCTGGGGCACGCCTTTTCCTTCTTCTTCTTCTTCTTCTTCTTCTTCTTCTTCTTCTTCTTCTTCTTCTTCTTCTTCTTCTTCTTTTCTTTTTCATTTCCCCCTCCCTTTCTTTTGCAAAGGAGAGGGGTGCAGTATCTTTCTTTCTTTCTTTCTTTCTTTCTTTCTTTCTTTCTTTCTTTCTTTCTTTCTTTCTTTCTTTCTTTCTTTCTTTCTTTCGCCAAACACAAAAGCGCAGTATTTTTTTTTCTTTTGCCAAATGCAAAGACGTGCAGCATTTTTCCTTTCTTGTGCAAAGGAGAGGGGTGCAGTATTCTTTCTTTCTTTCTTTCTTTCTTTCTTTCTTTCTTTCTTTCTTTCTTTCTTTCTTTCTTTCTTTCTTTCTTTCTTTCTTTCTTTCTTTCTTTCTTTTGCCAAACACAAAAGCGCAGTATTTTTTTTCTTTTGCCAAATGCAAAGACGTGCAGCATTTTTCCTTTTTTTTGCAAAGGAGAGGGGTACAGTATTCTTTCTTTCTTTCTTTCTTTCTTTCTTTCTTTCTTTCTTTCTTTCTTTCTTTCTTTCTTTCTTTCTTTTGCCAAACACAAAAGCGCAGTATTTTTTTTCTTTTGCCAAATGCAAAGACGTGCAGTATTTTTCCTTTTTTTTGCAAAGGAGAGGGGTGCAGTATTCTTTCTTTCTTTCTTTCTCTTTCTTTCTTTCTTTCTTTCTTTCTTTCTTTCTTTCTTTCTTTCTTTTGCCAAACACAAAAGCGCAGTATTTTTTTTCTTTTGCCAAATGCAAAGACGTGCAGTATTTCTCCTTTCTTTTGCAAAGGGCAGACGTGCAAATGTTTTTTTCTTTTCTTTTGCAAAGGGCAGACTTGCAGTGTTGTTTCCTTTCTCTCGCGAAAGGCAGGCCTGCGACGTTTTCTTTTGCAAAATGGAGCACGTGCGGCATTTTCTCTCTCTTTCTTTTGCCAAATGCAGCACCTGCGGCAATTTTTGTTTTCTTTTGCCAAATGTGGAGGTGCAAGAGTCGATTCTCGAAATGCAACGTTATTTCGTCTTACCGTTAGTTGGGGAGGGGGGGGAAGCCATCTCTGCATCCTTGAGTCTCTTTCCAAGGATGCATTTTCCATTAGAAAAATAAAAATCATGCATATGTTTATATAGGTGATGCATCAGAAAGCAAGTGATCATCCACTGACATATTGATGATATGATATTCAATATATGCAATAAATAATATATTGAACAAGAGAAAAAAACGTTTCTAGAGAACATTCCACCAGTGACACATTTATGCCTTACATTACTCTTTCCCAGCTGGATTTGTATCTTTCTTAAAACTTGCAAGTTTTATATTTTTTTTTCCTTTTGTTTCTTTCTTAAACACTTGCAAATGTATTTTTTTTCCTTTTGTGTCTTTCTTAAAACTTGCAAGTTTATTTTTTTTCTTTTGTATCTTTCTTAAAAGGCCAGTGTATTGTTGTTTTTCTGTCTTTCTTAAAAACTTGCAAATGTATTTTTTTCCTTGTGTATCTTTCTTAAAAGTTGAAAGTGTGTTTTTTCCCCTTGTGTCTTTCTTAAAACTTGCAAGTTTATTTTTTTCCTTTTGTATCTTCCTTAAAACAGGCCAGTGTATTTTTGCTTTTGTATCTTTCTTTAAAAAGTTGCAAGTGTATTTTTTCTCCCCCTTTTGTATCTTTCGTAAAAGCTGCCAGTCTATTCAAGAACGTTTAGAACAGGGCTTTTCAACCTTTTCATCCATTTTACCACTTTTAGGATATGGCAACATCCGAGTATCACCAGTCGCCTAGCAAGGTGTCAAAAACTTGATGACCAAAAAAAAAGGGGGGGGATGATGAAGTACAGGTAGTCCTTGACTTACAACAGTTTGCTTAGTGACTGTTTGAAGTTACAATGGCACTCAAAAAAGTGCCCCCCAAGCCACAGCCGAGCAAGACACCTGCCTGCCCACCTGGCGGCACTCTTCCTCCTGTCTGAGGTTTTCATTGTTGTGAGCATTTCTGTTTCTGTTTATGGGTACCACCTGTGCTACATTGGCACCTGGCAGGGGGTACGCGACCATCCTAGAAAAGTGGTAGCGGGAATGAGGGGAATGAGCTGAACCGGTGGCAGCACCGCACAAGCCTGAGCAAGAGACAGCTGGAGCTGCAGGGCTGTCAGGGCTCAGTGGAAGCGCCAGGATCAGTGCCGCTTTCCAGCTGATCGGCGCTTCTTCAGGGCTGTCAGGGCTCAGTGGAAGCGCCAGGATCAGCCCCAGGCTCCAGCTGGAGCTCGGCACTGATCCTGGTGCTTCTGCTGAGCCCTGAAGAAGTGCCGATCAGCTGGAAAGCAGCGCTGATCCTAGCGCTTCTGCTGAGCCCAGAAGAAGCACCAATCAGCTGGAATGTTGCAGCATCTCCAGGGTCTTGTGATTTACATTCAGATGCTTGGATTTATGACGGTCACAGTGTCCCAGGGTCATGTGAAGGGACCAAAACCTACTGCAACCACCCAGCACACAAGAGGAATAAAAACCAAACACACCCCACCCCACCCCCACTGCCAATCCCCAACAGAAATGCTTACAACAATGAAACCTCGAATAGGAGGAAGAGTGCTGCTGGGTGGGCAGGCAGGTGTCTTGCTCGGCTGTGGCTTGGGGGGCACTTTTTTCAGTGCCATTGTAACTTTGAACGGTCACTAAGCGAACTGTTGTAAGTCGAGGACTACCTGTACTTTATCACTTTTTTTCTTTTTTGGGGGGTCATCAAGTTTTTGATACCTTGCTAGGCGACTGGTGGTACTCCGATGTTGCCATATCCTAAAAGTGGTACAATGGGTGAAAAGGTTGAAAAGCCCTGCTCTAAACTAATAACGTCTACATTAATTAACATTAATTATGCTTTCATATGTTCCTCTAACTCAGGGCTCTTCAAACTTGGCCCTTTTAGGACTTGTGGACGTCAACTCCCAGAATTCCTCACCCAGCGTGCCTGGCTGAGGAATTCTGGGAGTTGACGTCCACAAGTCATCAAAGGGCCAAGTTTGAAGAGCCCTGATCTAAAATGTTAACAGTTAGCCAGTTAAAACTGGCTGAGTCTGTCCACGATTAAGGAGATTTTTTCCTGTCTTCTAATTTTTAGTTAGTGTGCATGGATTTGCTCTGCTAGTTTTCTATCCGTCTGGCCTTCACAGTGGCTGTTACAGTCCTTACACTGTACATTGTAGATGTCTCCTGTTTTGTTTTGTTTTGTTTCTTGCTTCTTTGGCTACTAGATCTAGATGTTCTGTTTGATTTTTCTCTGCTCTTTAAGAAGGAACAAATTCTTCAGTTTCGCTCTTCAGGCCCTTTCAGAGTTACATTGTTCAAGCTATTTTTCTTCATTCCAAGAACTTCCGTTCAAATCTTCACTGTCTTTCGGGTGATTGCTGTCCGTTGGTATCCTTTGCTAGGGATATTTTTACAGTCTATTCCTCATAATAGTTTCGGAACGTTCTGCTTTCAAAATGGAAGCATCGTCCAGACCCATTACTGGATCCCCAAACAAATAGGTCTAAGTTTTATGTCCACAAGTCAACATCTTACCTCCAAGATATTGACATGTGGACTTCATCTACATTTATGCTGGCTAGAGAATTCTGGGAGTTGAAGTCCCCATATCTTTAAATGGTCAAGTTTGAGATATGCTGATTTAAAGGTAAGTGTCCCCTAGGATGCTGTTTAAGAGGACTCAACACAACATTGCACCAGTAGCTCAATTTTCTTCCTACTATACAATAGATAGTATTAGAGGCCTCATCGCTGAGTGTTGTATCTTATGATTTATAATGGATGTTTTTGTGATTGTGATCATGATTTATCACTTGTTGCTTGTATCTACATTGAAAGCTTATGCACCAGAAACAAATTCCTTGTGTGTCCAGTCACACTTGGCCAATAAAGAATTCTATTCTATTCTATTCTATTCTATTCTATTCTATTCTATTCTATTCTGTCCTTCATATTCTGTTCTGTTCTGTTCTGTTCTATTCTATCTTTCATGTTCTATTCTATTCTGTTCTATTCTATTCCCTATTCTATTCTATTCTATTCTATTCTATTCTATTCTATTCTATTCTATTCTATTCTATACTATTCTAGTCTAGTCTAGTCTAGTCTAGTCTAGCCTAGCCTAGTCTAGCCTAGCCTATATTCTATTCTCTATTTTCTATTCTATTCTATTCTAGTCTATTCTAGTCTAGTCTATTCTAGTCTAGTCTATTCTAGTCTAGACTAGACTAGTCTAGTCTAGTCCAGCCTATATTCTATTCTCTATTTTCTATTCTATTCTATTCTATTCTAGTCTAGTCCAGTCTAGTCTAGTCCAGTCTAGTCTAGTCTAGTCTAGTCTATATTCTATTCTATTCTATTCTATTCTATTCTATTCTATTCTATTCTATTCTATTCTATTCTATTCTAGTCTAGTCTAGTCTAGTCTAGTCTAGTCTAGTCTAGCCTAGCCTAGCCTATATTCTATTCTCTATTTTCTATTCTATTCTGTTCTGTTCTATTCTATTAAGGCGGGACTAGAACTCAGAGTCTCTTGGTGATTGGCTCAAAGTCACCCACCCGGCTTTCATGCCTAAAATGGCACTGGAATTCACCATCTCCCAGTCTCTACTCTTGTGCCT